AAGGGCCCCGCTCCTGCTACTCCTGGAGAATTAAATAGATAAATGGGCGGCGCTGTTGTTCACGCTTCACTATGCACAAAGCAACTTGCATTCAAAATTGGGCTCATGGCAGTTCAGCAACAACCTCGCACAATAGCGTCATTAGACACGCAGGGCCGGCTCGCAGGCGCAGAGCCTGCTCTGCAGCTGGAGCAGCCACCGGGCTGGCCTGCCGTGGGCTTGTTTTTAGCTTTATAAAAATACATCTTTTAAAAAAAAAAGTATAGAAAGAAGATTCAGTGTCTTTTTCTTAAAGGCTTGGGCAGGCGTTGCTGTTTGAAGGCAGGGGGAAGAGAGGAGAGGATGGGATTTGTGGTGTCCACACGCCACCCGTCTCTTGTGCCGGCTCCTTCTCATTGGCAAGTCTTCCATTTCCAGAGTGAGGAGGGGACAAATAAGACCTGAGTCTGCAGAGCCTTCACCTGCTGACTTCTTTGAGAGTGTTCCCTGGCAGGTTGCTGATTTAGTGGGGAAGGTCTCTTAAGCCAAGGGGAAATTGCAAATTTAATCTCTCTGCTTGCCTCGGTGGCTTTCAGGAAAAGGTGTTGGGTGCTCTGTGAGTCTCACAGATACTGAAGGTTGGTTCTGCCGGAGCTCTCAGCCTGATTTAAGAGTGGTTCAGGTTTGGCATTAATTGGCATGGTGTTCATTGTGTTTTAAAAAACAACCCTGGCTTCTCCTGACCTGAGGAGGAATTCAATTTTATTAGTATGGAGAGAAATTCAGTATAAAAATCAGCAGCTCACTGTCATTGGAATGGAGCCAATCTTGGAAAGAGTCAGCTTGCCTATGGCTTGTTGTTTGCTCTGGGAAAATAATTTGCCTCCCAGATTTCACCTTCCTCAGTTGTAATGGAGATAATGAAGCCCGCTCTCCTTGGTAGGAGCATCTGGAACCCAGGTACTGGAGGCACATCCCCATAAAACTCTTGTTCCTTATACTGTGTTAACTGAGAGACATTTTAACCACATGCCTCCATTGGGAAAGCTCTGAATTTAACAGGTTGGTGGCAGAAATGTGAAGAAAAGATCTTCACTTGTGTGCTGCTATTTGTGGACTGTGTGGCATCTGTGGTGGTGTGGGTGCTCACTCCTCCCCAGCATCATCTTGTGTCAGAGCCAGCCTGGGTCTCTGTTTCCCCATAAGTAATTTAAAATCAAGAGGCAATTTGATTGCAGAACTAGCTGGCCTTCCCAAATGCTCTCCTAACACCATGTTTGGCACAGAACCTTTCAAGTCTTCCTCCTCTCCTTGTGCCTGCACAATGTTTGTGTTTTAATGACTCTAAAGGCCTGGGATTTGCTTTGACATACCAAGTTAATGTTTTATTTTTCTATATCAAATCTAGGTCAATCTCTGGCTTAGCACTAATGCTGCACTGAGCAAAAAAGGATTGGCCATTAATGGTTTCAATTTAGTTTTTTATGGAGTAGAGAAAATTTCACTCGATAGCTATTTTCATTTTTATTCCATTGGCCTTTCCACCAGGCCTGTTGGGATGGAGAAAGTGCTTGTGATTTGATTAGAGGAGACCCCAGAATGAATCCTCCATGAATATGGATGAGGATGAGAGTTGCTGCTCACCTGTGTCCATAGGACATGCCTTCAGGGACTGCATCCCAGTGGGGGTTAAGTGGTGGGCAATCCCAAGCATGGGGATTTCTTTATGGAAGAGCCTCGCCTGTGATCCAGCATCATCCTCGTTGATGTCCTTAGTTATATAACACAGGGGAAGGAGAGAAGAGTAACTCTTCTGCTTCATGTGTCTGTGTGCCTGTAGACAGGCAACATTCAATCTGAATCTAGCCCTGGACAGCATCTTTTGGAGGAGGCTCCTCCATGTGTCAGAGGGCTGCCAGGACCATTCCCTGTCTGCTGTAAGCCCTAATTTTGTCTTTCTGTGCCCTGTGGCAGTTGCTGTGTCCCATGGCCAAAATCCAGAGTGGGATGATAGGAGAAGCACTGAGACATCACAGCTTGGAGCATTAATGTGGAGCAATGAGTGTGCATGTGATTTATGTTATTTTTATGGCTTGATGACACAAGGAGATGGCAGAGGGAAGTTTAATGGAAACAGGATGGCACTCACCCCTCTGATGATGATAAAAAAGGCCTGGGGCAGCACCAGTCCCTTCACTGGCACATGGATGCTGCTGCATTGCTGGATGGCAGAGACCGCTGGCAGATGGATTAGTGAGTGCCTCCCCTCTTAGGAGCTCGCGGGTGAATATTGTGATTGCATGTATTTATTTTAAAAATTATTATAGCCATTAGCATAGAAATGAGCTGCAGCTCCCTGGCTGCTGGCCAACCCCACCCGGGCTGACGTGCAGCTCTTCTCCTTGGCGTCTGGAACAAAAGCGCCCGGCTGGTAACGGGGGCCTGCTGCTTGCCACGGGAAGACAAGTGACAAACAGGAGCAAGCACTCTGCTGCTTGAGTTTGTCACAGTCAGTTGGGACATATATAAAAACCTCACATAGGTCAGCAGAGATTTAGCTCCTGAGGCAATGCCATTTGAAGCAGTTGAGCTCCTATCCCTCTCCTCTCCTTCTCCCCGGTGATTTATTCCCAGGCTGAAAACCCAGTAATCACTCACACTGAAGTTTTGTTGCTGTTTTACAGGAGATGCTCCAAAAGTCTTTTGTCTCTGCAACTGTAAATAAACTCGTAAACCTGTTTTAAAAATAGCATTTTGTAGCTCAGTGCATGAATTTTTAATGCATCTTCTGCAAACCAGCTGGTCTTGGCAAGGGTCACAGTGTTTCCTAGGCATTTAACATAAAACTGTGCTTCAAAGCCACATTATAGTGTCTTGAAGAGTAATATTTTACTTAACATCCTCATAACTGAATTATTTATAACTTGCCATGTTTTATTCATGATAAATATTAATACTGGTGTCTTTAAGAGTAGAGGTTATTGCTGCAGTTTTACCTATAAGAGGTGATATTATTGAAATAAAGGAATGGCAATGAATTCCATAGCCAGCAGAGCGAAGTCTGTGCTGGGCTGTTCTCATTCACACCTCCCTCTTTTATCAACCCTGTCAACCACTAGAAAACCTCAGTGCTGAGCATCTGTACATTTGAAAGGAATTTTCTTGCAGGCATCTGAATCCCTGTTTTTTAAAAAAATTTCTTAGCTTTGTGTCATTCTCAGTAATACCTGGATTCGTTCCTTGGTGAGGGTCCATAAGCTTTGACTTTGCAAAAGTGCTCATCCTGGTCTGGGTCTCCAGCCTTGAAATGTTCTGCAGGCTCCCTTGAGCTCCCCTGCTGCAGGCACCCATGGATCCCCCATCTTTTGAAGCATCCCTTGCCACCTTGGAAGCGGCATCACCTGGTGATGAAAGACCTCCTAGCAGCCTTTGGGCTCCTTTCCATGTCTGAATGCTCTGGGCCATGATCAGTCTCATTTCAAGGCTAAATCTATATGAATTGGGTAAATTGCCATTGCACCATTGGGCTCCATCCTATAATCCTATACCAGAGAGGATAATTGAATTGGCTTTTATCTTGGGAAAGAGAAATACAATTTTCCGTGATCTTTCACCTTGTGCTGGTGTGTCGCCATCTAGCTGGAACATTGCGCAGCCACTCCCCCCAGTCTGGCTCCTGACTGCCCATCCCAGCCTCATACCTACAAAACCTTCCCAACCCTGCAACTGTGCAGGGCTGGGGCTTTGCTCCGTGTTACTCCATCAGCTTAACAAATCTGCCATCAGCGGGTTGAGAGCGGTGGTTGCGGGAGCAGCGCAGGTTAATGCAACACATATTTAATGTATGATTGCTAATGGCCATCTCCCATCTGCCTGAGCCCAACTGCAGTTTGCAGATGAATGATTAAGCTGCCCTGACACATAGGCAGCTTGTTCCTTGGCAGACCCACAGTCATTGCACTTGATGCATGTAAAAGGGGACGAGGTTTTCTTGCTGGAGAGAGGGGTGTCACCAGACCGGGGCAGCAGAGCAGAGGGTTCTCCTGGAGTTTGTTTTGTATGGTAAAATGCTAGAGACCTTCCTGTGGATGCAGCACTTTAAATGAATCACGAGCTCAATAACCACGGGGATGTTTATTAGCTTTGAATATGTTTATTGCGGAGTCAACAGGCAGCACCTTCCAATTAATTAATAGTAATGATTACGGTATTATTTATGTAGCTCTAACAGCGTGCCAGAGTGTTTCCACACGGTGGTTACAGCTGTGGCTTGCTGGAACAGGCTGGCTCGTGTTCACCCTCTGTGGGCATGCCGGGGCTCATCATTTACTGTCGGGTAGTCCCAGCCCCAAAAGCCTCATTTTGCTGAGCTCTTGGCAGCTGTTCTATTTTTTTGGCTGAATGTTTTGCTCCCCAACCCGGGGTTGTGGCTGTTCCTGCTGTGGTGCTGGAAGGCAGAGTATGCAATGAGTTGGAGCACCTGCAAACAGGTGGAAATCAAGGGCTGTATGTTTCACTAGGGTATTTTGGCATTCTTCTGCTCGAGGTATTTAAATAACATGAGTTTAGGAGTCAAGCTGTATATATCAGAAGGATATTTACAACAGATAAAACACTGATGGCAACAGAAAGAATCCATCTCTCTTTTGATGTGGACTAGGATCCAAAGACTGCTCAAGCTATTGGGAATGGCCTCTGATAAGTGCCAGTGCAGTGTCTGTGCTTCTCGCTGCCCCAGCAGACCTTGCTGGGACCATGAAGATCTTGGAGCAAAGTCTGCTGTTCTGGTTGAGCCAATCAGTTCAACGTGCAGAGGCAGGTGGGATACAAAGAACTTCCCACTAGTCTTGTTTTTTCATGCAGAAGCTGCAAACTGGCCTTCTGCTCTTACATTGCATTACAGTCCCATTTGCATTCTGTGGGAAATAAGAGTGTTTCTAGGTCACAAAGTTGTTGACATCTTCCAGTTGTTGGATCTTTCTTCACATGTGAATAATTTTGTCTCTCGTTTTGTCTTCCAGCAATGTCTGACTTCCACATCCACCCTCAGAATGCAGTGGTGGAGGAAGGTGGTGTAGCAAGATTCCAGTGCCAGATCCACGGCTTGCCTGAGCCAGTCATCCTGTGGCATAAGAACAGCATGCCAGTCAACACAGACAACGAAAGGTAACACATGTCTAAGCCATGTGCTGCTGGCCTTTTCCAGCTGGGAAAAGATGACCAGACTTTCTATTGCTTCCACAGTTGTACTTGGACACAGCTAACCTGGGCTAAGGGTCTTGGCCAATATTTCCACCATGGAAGACTCTTGTTTAGTGTGTTGTGGCTTTTCTGGTTTGGTTCTCCTTTTGGCCAAACACCTTGTAGGAGTACTGGCATTTCTCCGGAGAGGTAGATAAAGCTATTAGTTGATTTTTGAGGGCTTGCACTGACTGTCTTTGATCAACCCTGCTCCAGGTTTATTTTCCAGTATTGAGTATTGAGACCTGCCCAACAATCCTCAAAGAGCTGGGTAGCTTTGGCATTCTTCATCCTCCATGGCTCCATTTTGTGTAACTCTTTCTGAGGCAGATTCATGACTTAGGATCTTGCATATGGGTCCTGGACTCTTGCAAGTGCTGAATTTCACTGTGGCTGCTATTGCCAGGTGGACTCCCTCACGCGTGGCAACCGGGGAGCTCTGCAGAGCGCTTCCCACAGCACCCTGAGCTGCCATTTCCCAAACAGTCTCCTAAAGAGAAACTCCAGCTGCCTCCCTTCCCAGCCTAGACCTGGAGCGGCACGTCGCCGCTTCCTGTGTTTGACAGGCCTCTCCCTTCGTGTCGGAAACGTCCCTCATCAGGGTTTGATCGCGGCACGGCGCGGCACAGCTGGCAGGAAACGCGTGCCCGCTGCCGGCTGCCCCGGCTGCAGCTCGGGAGCCGCACAACCAGCAGCGCGAGACAATCGCTCACAGCACACCTCCAGCACGGATTGACATCCCTGCCTTGGGAATAGGCGAAACCAGGAAGCTGTAAATATTTTCCTGAAAGCCCCTATTCTTAAAAATGTCAGTTCTGCAGCAGAATGTGGTTGGGTTCTTTGGAGGCAGGAGAAAACACGAGGGCTGGAACAATGCCTGACCTTCTCAGAGTGGCAGTGAACTTACAGTAGAAGGACCCAAGAGGCCCAAATCTGCTGTGGAAAACTGCAACTGTCAGGTTTTGTTTTTCCTTGCATTTTTCAGCTAAGCTTTTTTTAGCCCAGTGTAGGGTTGATTTGTTGAACTTGATCTCGTCTGAAGGCTTCTTACTCATACAGGTGCTGAACTGAGGATGTGGTAGAGCAGAGCCACTGATCCGAGGTGGCACCAGCAGAAGAAAGGGGTGGAGAACTGTGCTGGATGCCTTGTGGCATCCCAGTGGGATGTTGCAGGACAGGTGAAGTTTCCCTAAAGTCCTTCATGCATCATTGATCCTTTGCATTTGAGCCCAGGGACACAGTTGTGGAGCTGGTCAGAAATGTGGCAGGGATTTAATTGTGACCAGGACTTCTTTTCTCCAGGGCTGGGGAACCCCAAGGCCAAGACTTTTCTCCAACCCAGAAAGGTCCAAGCTGTGCTCATTCCTACTGCTTCTCCTCTGGGGAAGGGAGTTTGCCCAAGCCCTGGAGGATGTAGCCTAGGAACAGTGTCCTTACATTCGTGTTCTGATTTTGAAGAGATTTGGCTTTTTGTAGGAGTAAAGTTATTGGGGAAGTTTTTTATTGTCAGCTCAGTAGATTAATCTCTGACACCAGAGCCTGGGTGATGAGAGTTGCTTCTCTAACTGAATTGGATTTCTGCATTAATCACGCTTGGTGCATTTCTGCGTGTAAAGTGTATATAAATTTGTATGCCGAGTCTTGCACTTGGAGGCTTTGAAGGCAGAATAATAGCTTTGGAATTGAATCTTCTAATGCTGTGGGCAGATTGTTAACAAAAATGAAGGCTTCTTGTAGTATAATTCATCCAAAACAATGGGCATTTTAAAGTCCCAGAGAGATTGCAATCAACTTGGGGCCGTGTAGAGCTGATTGCTGTCATGCTGCCACCGACACGGAGCCGCACGTTTGGAACCCGGCGCAGGGAGCAGGTTATAGGCACTTAACCATATGCTGATATGGAGAAAGATATTCTTCATCTTCCGGACGGAAATGGATTATTAACTCATCACAGTGTAATGACTTACTACCAGCCAATTTAAACAAGTGGTTGCCAAGCAACCTGTAATGTATGTGTACATATATGTGTGTATGCACGCATGATTTAAATGTGCCTGTGTTTTAAAGATGTAAAATATTTATTGATGTTTACATTTGCCCCGCTCAGTATTTATTTTAAACATACCTTTTCACGCATGTGAAGTTTTAAGGTCATAGGGATTTGAGTCCTGGACCTGGAGTGGGGAGGTGGAGCACAGGTTTCTGATGCCTGTCCTTGGTCACTGTGCTTCAGCTGATGAGTGATAATTCCCATGTCATGATAACTCTAATGTCAGCTGTCTTCACATGCAAATGCACTGCCAGAGCTTTTCCATAGGTTAAATAGGAAACATCTATTTTGTAGCCTTCCAACAAAAATCACCACTTCTCATTGCATCAGGAGATAAATTATTTTCTTTTATGTCCCTGTAGAAGAAGACCAGAGGTTCAAGTATCCAAAAAAAGTAAGAACTGATGCAGAAGCAGGTGTGGCCCAGCCTAAAGGGGTGTTGGCATCCTGGTGGTATTGACACCTCTGCACTGGGATGCAGGGAGCCAGCCTGCCTCGTCTGGATGGGTGTGCAGCCTGCTGTCACATCGTGTCCTGCTTTGCAAGCTTTTGATTCTGTTTTCTCTTCCACAGGTACACGCTGCTTCCCAAGGGGGTTCTCCAGATAACGGGGCTGAGGGCAGAAGACAGTGGGATATTTCACTGCGTTGCCACCAATATTGCTAACGTGAAGTTCAGCCGGGAGGCACGGCTCACCGTGTCAGGTTAGTGCCAGCTATGCTGTCCTGGCTGCCTTCCTGTCTTCTTCCCACTGCTGTTCTGGACCAGGAAGCCTGAAGTTTAAGAGAGACATTCCTCTGTCCAGCCATAACACTTTCCTTGTTCTGGATTGTTAGTTGTTAAGATCCCCTCTGGTGCGGAACATCCCAGATTCCCTGTGGAAATGGAGATTGCATCTTTGGAGATAGCAGGCAAGGGAAATCTCCCCAGGGATGGTTGAGTGGGTGTTTCTGAGTTCTTTCTTACATGCAGCCGAAGGTCTTTCCCCTGAGCTGTGATGCTCCTGTCCATCATATACACATAATTGCTGGTACCCAGGAGCTGGAGGCTTTCCAGCACACATCTCACAGCTTCCCATCACCCTCCAAAACACTGCCTGGCCAGTGGTTCTGGAGCAGAGACTTAACACCTGTACCAAGTGTCATATTAGCCTCTGCTGGCTGTAAAAAAGCAGCACGCGTGAAATGGGGTGAAGCGAGGGAAGAGTGATGCTGTGTATGTCAACTCTGATGGGAAAGAAAGCAGGTTAACTGGTTCTGAAAGACCTGGGAGCTTTGGGTGCCTGTTACTTATCTGTTTGCTTAATCTATGCAAACAGTAGCCACATAGAGGGAATAAAGAGCAGTAAATTATCAATGTGGTGAAGTTCTTTATGTCAGTTTTCTGGCCTGAGTTATTATTTCTCGCAGGGCAGAAAGCTTTAGTTGTTCTCATCTGACCATCCCTCATTGCAGATGGATATTTTCCAGGTTTCCTGTCCATGAAACATTCGTGGCTTTTTCTCCTCCTTAAAGCAGTCGGATGATGAATATGGGCACCTTGTGTAAGTGTTTGTTGAAGGGTTTGGACCATGCTTCAGTGCCTGCACTGCTGTAACTGGACATTTGCATGGAAAACTCACTGCACTGGGTTAAACCTCCATGGAAAAGGTTTATGCTCTGTGGTGTTTGCTAAGAACACACAAATATCTCTTAGATCAGGACAGCAGGTATGTGTTAGCATGTGAACCTTGGGCTTTGGCATGGCAGCAGAGGCTGTGAGCCACAGAGGTGCATCACGGGCCATTGCTCTGCTGGTGTGGGTGTTGTGTCAGTAAATACTGAGCTAACATGAGTGCTGCTGTGCACATGGCATTAGGCATGATGGGGTAAGCAGAATTCTTGCAAATTTTTTGTATCACCTCCCTCTTGTGTCACGGTGAAGGGAATGGTCTCTCTGCTCTTCATGATGGCAGGAGGGCTCCCACTTTGCCCTGCTGGGCAGCAGCTTCAGCCATTGCTTCACCAGCAGAGAAGCACAGGTCTGCCTCCCTGAGGTTTCCAATCCAAGCCCTGGCTTGGGAGGGAGGAGGGAGAGGGTGAGAATGGTCTCTGGAAGCCTGTGCCCTGCAGGGCATTGCCACAGCCCGGCAGGAGAGGAGGAGGAGGGTGGCTGCCCATGGGGGATGAAGGAGCCTGCTTGCAGCCCTCTCCCTCCTCTGCCTCGCAGTGGTGGCGGGGCTGCCGGCGGTGAGCAGCACAGAGATGTCTTCCAGTCCTGCTGATTGATTATTTTCAAGTGCCTGCTCAGTGGAGCTGCTCCTGAGGGGGCTGCCTGCCTCTCTGCACTGACACCTTTCCAGTGTGAGCTGCGGCTCTCTCTGCTGCTGTCCTTTTGATCAAGATCTGGCAGGCGATGCTCGTGTCCCTGCTGGAGTGCCTGTCACTGCTGGCAGTGCTGGGGACCTCCCCATCCCCACTGTGACTGCTGCTGGCAGAGTCCCTGGGGACCACGGGCATCATTAGAGCCTTTTCCCCTTTCAGAACAAATCCCTGCGCTGCCCTGAACCCTGCTGAGCTCCAGCAGCACTCGCCTGCCACAAGTCCCTCATTTTATCACTCCTTCCTTCCTGACCCTGCATCAAAGAGCTGGTCTGATGGAAGAAGCAAACCTCCTCCTTGATGTTGGGACATGGTTGGTCCCTTTGTGCGGTGCTGGCATCTGACTGCTGTGTCCCAGTCCCTGCTGGCCCTGGAGCTGTCACTGCTGTGGGTGGTGGGCTCAGCAGCAAAGCTATGGGACACTGCATGGCCTTTGCAGGAGAAGGTGAGCAGTGGTGGAAATGCCACTTCCAGAGTTGGACAGCATTTGCCCAAACTCAGGGAGCTGAATCCGCACTTAAAAACCTGAATATCTATTTAAGACTCAGAGTAGAAATCAAAGAACATGATATTTAAATATTTTATTGTCAAAGTAGTGTGTTTCATAAATTCTGCTTTGAGTTTGGCTCCCGTTTCCTGATATTCTTGGGTGACCTTGGACAATTCATTTCATTTCTCCATGTTTTGAAATATTGGAATCGCTATATAATACGCTGATAATACCGTATTATTCTAAGCGTGAACATTTAGTATTGTGATTCAGAACAATAAATCTACATGGGTTTTAAAGGCACTCCGAGGTACTGAGGGGAAGGTATTGTTTTTCAGATCTCTTGGGGTTAACCAGCCGGTCATATGAATTTATTGTGCATTCTGGTTCTCATCAAAAAAATCTGCATTTTATGGCTTGCAGTGAAATGCATTTAGTGAGAAAGTCAGCTCTTAAGTCACACTGCCACGGTGATTTTTCTTGGATTTTGCCCATTTACACACAAGCTTGGAATCGCTTTATCGCTCCCTGCTTAGCCCCCGTAGGAACAATTAACAAACGAGCAGCTCTGATCTGTGCTTGCCCTTGGACCACTGTGGAATCCCCCTGCTATGCCCTGATTCCAGCCCCTGAGCTGCTGTGAAAGGGTAACACTCAAAAGTGCAGGAAGAAATTGTTTTTCTTGGAGAGAAGCCCCTGTAGATAGATTTTGGTGGATCACTTCCCTGTAATGAGCCTTTTGAACATTGGGAAGTCCATGTTGTGAGTCAGTGTGGGTTGATCCCTATGGCAAAGCCCATCCAAGGCTGTGCTCCCCAGCCCTCCTGTGCCCCACTCCTGCTCAGGAGCAGATGACCAGCCCAGGTATTTCTCTTTGCAGGTGTACAGAGATTTTTTTTGCCAGCAGCTGTAAGACTGATGGAATTCCTTAAGCACTGCTTTGACCTCAGCATTTCTGGCGTATATCCGCGGTCTCATCAGAGACAGGGAGGAAGACTAATGCAGAGATTTTCAGTGTTCCTGTTTACTGATGGAGAACTGAGAATATCTCTTGGGTTTCCTCCTCTCCTGCTTCCAACAAATGGGACTAAAGGCTGCTGGGACATTTGGCTCAGGGATAAGGCACTTTTTAGGGACTCAGGAGATGTGGGTTTAGCTGTGGTGTACATAACACAGGATGATGTTTTTGTCCCATGCTGTCATTCTGTCTAGTGAAATGTGTTTTCTTTTGCCTTTCTTGTGCCTGTGTGGTGTCCAGGGTCCTTGCACCAGGATTTTGTTCTGTTATGGGTCTGTACATCCATCTTGCTTGATGGGTTTTATTCTTGGGTGCTGCCACTTGGTGCTACTACAGTGCAAATAAAGGATTAGTGATTGTATCATGAGCAGCAAATATGTCACAGTTGTATCAGTGCAATGGGATGCATCCTCTCCCTGCAGGAAAAAGTGGGGTGCAGTAGTCAGAGGAGTTTCCTCTCAGAAAGCTCCTCAGCAGGAGTCAGGGACTGCTACCTCCGTCACTCCTTGTCCCAGGACAGGTCTTTTGGCGCAAGTGACACCAGCAGCAAGAGAGGATGCTCACAGGGACAGTTAGGCATTGTGGTCTGTATGGATTACTTTGTGGCTTGAAATGCTGAAAGGTAAAGCAACTCCCTCATTTATTTGCATTCCTGCTGTCTTTCATGTTGTGTTTTCCTTGTATATCATGCACATCTTCTCTTTGCAGTTCACGGTGCAGTTCCTTCTTTATGCTGCTGATACCAGGTGTTAACAGGGCTGTTTGTGGCTGGATCATTTCTTCAGTGGTTTTCCCCAGGAATAATCAATGCACACTTTAAATGTGTTCAGTGTGACTGTCACACAAACACTGTGCTCCTTTTGTTTCATGTACATCTCAGATTTATTGAGGGTTACACCACCCACATAATTTAGAATCCTGGAATGGTTTGGGTTGGAAGGACCCTTAAAGATCATCTCATTCCAGCCCCTGCCATGGACAGGGACACCTTCCACTATCCCAGGTTGCTCTGAATCCTGCCCAGCTTGGCCTTGAACACTTCCAGGGATGGAATTCACAACTTCTCTGGGCAGCCTGTGCCAGGGCCTCACCACCTAACAGGGAAGAATCTCTTCCAAAAACCTAACCTAAATTTCCCCTCTTCCGGTTTGAACTCATTACTCCTTCTCATGTGACTACATCCCAGTGAAAGAGGATATGTGCTTAGAAGAGATGCACTTAGAGGAGACCCAAAGTCCTCGATGTTCCCTTTAAACAAGAGGGAACCAGAAGCATTGTGACAATGTCGTTGCAGGCTCCCACTCCACCGTGTACAAGGACCCCATGATTCTGGTGGGCCCGGAGAACCTGACGCTGACCGTGCACCAGACAGCAGTGCTGGAGTGCATCGCCACCGGCAACCCCCGGCCCATCGTCTCCTGGAGCCGCCTCGGTAAGCCCTGGGGGTCACTGGGACTTCCTCCTCCTCCTCCTCTCCATAGTCATCATGTAGGAAATAGGTAGGTGCCACCGACTGTTTTATACAACAACTGATTCACCCTCTCCCTTCCCACAGAAGGTAATTGTAAGCTTGAAGTGCTTTTTATCCTCATGTCTACACTTTGTTTTTTCTCTCTGCCAAGATTCTGTTTTCAGCTGTTAGAGAAGTGGGTTGGTTAAACCTGTAGATGTTTCATGAAAGGTGATAATTTTATCTTTTCTCAAGTGACAGCATCTTCTGCTGCTGCATCAAAAACATCACCACTGTTGGCCTAGAGAAGCAAAATCATACACAAACACATCTTTCACATAAAAACAGACTTGAAAGAAATTTGCTGTCTGTTCAGGGAGTTTTAAAACAATTTTAAGGGGGAGAGAGTGTTTAAAGTGTGTCTGAAGCCCTGAAAAAACAAATGCTTGCTGCTGGGGTCTGTGATACGTTTTTAAATCAGCATGGAAACCAGAGACAGTGTCTGATGGCATCATGCAAGCAAGGAGGAGCAAAGGGCTGTGTTACTCTAAGGTTTATTTTAGGTTCTAACTTTGTGATGATAGCTTAGAAACTGTTTTGCTCAGAGCAACACTTCCATTGTCCTACAGAAACCTGTGCTGAGTGAAGAGCTGATGAATTTTGTTTTATCTCCCAGAGCTTGTAACTATGCCTGTGTGCACAGTGGGGTTGGGTTCAGTTGGGATTTCTGGAGATCTTGTGGTCCTCGAGGTCACATCAGTTTTGGGATGCACATCTCCTGGTGTCTCCCAGGGCGGCTGTGAAGCACAAACAGGGATAATTCTGTCTCATGCTGCTGTGCTGGATGTGGGACTCCACCCCATGGCTCTGCAAGGGTCAGGGTCAGCTCATGGGCAGGGTGACTTCCCGCTCCAGAGCTGCCTGCCGGGGAGTAAGGACTTGCATCCAATATCAGTTGCACATTTTTTGCATGTTTTCCCTCCTTGCATCCTCTAGTGGCTTGTAAAATCAGCCTTTGTATGCCACTAACTGGTGTTTTTGCCTCCAGAGCCATAACCATCAGATTGATGCTGTTTTAAAAATTCCCCAGATACTCTGTATCACTGGTTTGGTTCTCTTGGACACAAGACAGCTCTGTGTTAGTGCTCAACTATAATAAACTACTTTATAATTGCCTTAATTATAAGTGCTTATTACCTTCTTCAAAACACTTGTCTCTATAGAGCAGTGCAATAATGAAGATGTAATAGCACCGTGCAATGTTTGTCTGGATGGTCTGAGCTCAGCATTGCCTTCCACCAAAAATAAATACCCTCCCCACACTATTGCACAGCACAGTGGCAGAATCAGAGCTACTGAATGGGAAACAGATCTTGTTATTTTCCCTTCCCTTCAGCAGGAATGTTTCCTGTCCAAAGCATCACAAGGTCTCGTTTAAGATGACAGTGATCCTGACAGCGACGTGGTGCACGGGCTCTCTGATGACTTGGAGGGTTTGTCATCTCTTTGTAGCCATTTCGGAAGCACTTTCATGTCTCCTTGTCTGTGTGATCACGGGGAAGGAGAGGGGTTTGTGCTGGACAGGGAGGTCCTCAGACTGTCTGTCACCTCTGGCTTCCTCCATGTGAAGGTCTTCTTCCTGAACTTCCTCCTACAGATAACTCACTCACCTTAGGAAAAAAATCTCTTTAATCCATTTGCAGAAATAAAAAAATCCACAGCCACAAAGTCTTAGAGAGATACAGCTGATTTAGCAATAGGAATGGCTTAATTTAAGCAAAAAAGTCAATTCTGTGTGAGCCTCTTTCTTGCCTTCTAGAAGTAAGGAAGAGCTGTGGTATTGCTGTTGTGCTGGGACTTTGCACAGGGCACATTGCCTTTTTGGAAACTCTGAGCCCCTTTGCTCACAGTTTTGACATTGTGGCATTTCTTCTGTCAAAAAGGAGCAAAAGAACAATTTTGCTTTCACAGCTTTCTAGTACAGGGGAAAGCAAGCCATAAACACCATTTGCACTTCTTGCTTTGGCTTTGCTAAAACCTGGCTGGTTTTCAGTGGGAAAAGCAACTAGCTATATTTTGCTTGAAAGAAATCATTCAAATTCTGGGCCAGTTTTTGAGTGTCACACAATCAATTTTGAATTTAATTTCTTTGGGAATATGTTGTAGCCCCTGACCACAAACAGAATTCCTGTGTCTCGCTGTGCATGAAATGTCAACATTCATTAGAGAGCAGGCTCTGAGAGAGATGTAAAATCATTAAGGGTTTGTTCAGGGAAGATAGGGCTGTTCCTTTCAGAGCCACGCACTTCAGGCTTGGACCTGTATGTGAGCACAAATGAATATCCTGGGCACTCACTGCAAAGCCTTTTGAATGAACGACGATTTTAATGTATCCTTACCCTTTAACTGACAGGCCACTGAGCTGGCCTCCATAAAAGGTACCAAAGCAGAATAATAAACTATTTAGAGAGATACAGAAAAGTGAGGCGAGAAAGAAAGGACAGTGATTATCTGATAGCGTTATACAGAAGTTGTCAGAAAGGGCCGCACAATGGGAAGGAAATTACTAAAGAGGGAGCCATTCAAGAAGTAAACTATACAACAATTGTAGGAGCCAATTAATTGGTAACTTATTGGACACAGAAGCTTGCAATAGACGGCTGACTGGTTGACAGGAGCACCGTTCCTGTAAGTGTTTAGAAATAATAGAGTAAATTTCACCACTTCACATACTGAATAGTCAACTGTTGCAATGTACTCTAAATATGCTAATCCACAGTGCCCAGTGTCCTCAGGAGCAGGAGACCCATGTGTCTAAAAAGTGGAAGGCTACTATGACACAATACAAAGAATTCACAAAAGACCTAAATGATCAACATTAGAAAGTTGTTACTTTCTTTCTACTTGCTACTTACAAAAGAAAGGCGTTCGTGTTGTTGCATATTCATATTGCCGGGCACGTTTTAAGGGGCTCTGTAATTGGTGCTGGTGTGCCAATCACTCGGTTAGCAGGCGGAGAATGGGCTCCAGAAAGCATCAGATACACCTTGGAAAAATAAATCATGTGGCTCCCAAACTACAGGCATCCTTCATCCAGACTTCACCCCCATGGAGAATCTGGAAGTACCCAAAGGGGCCTAAAGGAAGGCTGGAAGGGGACTTTCTGCAAGGGTGTGCAGTGATCGGACAAGGTGGGAATGGCTTTAAGCTGAAAGAGGGTAGATTTAGATCGGGTGTTAGGAAAAAATTCTTCCCTGTGAGGGTGGGGATGCCCAGGTGCAGGTTCCCCAGAGAAACTGTGACTGCCCCATCTCTGGAAGTGTCCAAGGCCAGGTTGGCTGGGGCTTGTACCAACCTGGGACACTGGAAATTGTCTCTGCCCATGGATGGGGGATTGGAATGAGATGATCTTTATGGTCCCTTCCAACCCATCCTATGATGTAGTGAAGTCTCTACTTGTCTATAGCCAGAGCATCTTTTGGGAGCATCTCCCATTTGGAGAATGGTTTCCCTTATTAATTAGAGGTGACTCTGCTCTTCACATGAGCTGAACCTCCCCCTTTTGTCCTCATCAACTGAGGGATTGAAAAAGAAAATCTGTCAGGCATTTCCCTCCAGACTGGCTCTTTTTCAGCCCTCAAATTTTCTGCTTTTGACTTCTTTAAAAGTAGAAGGCCATGTTAAATGAGCAGTGGTTTCAAGCCTGCCTGGGTCCTGACAGCTTTGGGAACTGAGCAAGTGTTGGCTTTTGCAGTCTCCTCCATGAAGAGATGACTTTGTGGTGGCAGGTGATGCCAGGAAGGTGAATTTGAAGGGCTTGGATTGCCTCATGCAAACCATTCTTCAGGTCTCCCTGTAAAGAAAACAGGGTTAAAATAAATAGCAACCTTTGCAAAGCAGGTGTGAGTCCCTCAGCACAGCAGTTCTGCAAAGTGCTGAGCTTTCAGAATGCAAGGAATTTCTTGTGTAAACACTGTATTATTTATATGTGTTGTCAGTGTTGCTAAGTTGGACTAGATATTAGCTGAAGACCTTCTAGCTGACTGCTTTTCCGTGCTTTTGGAAAGGGAGGAGTTGAGTGAGAGGTGTCTGAGATGATGAGGCAGAGTGATCTTTGGTGGCTGTTAGAGGTGACCACACTGACCCAAATGGCAGATCCACCAAAGCTTCTTTGTTCTCCAGGGAAATGAAGGATGTGTGGACAGGAGATGTTTCTTCAGACCACCAGACTTCTAATAGCTGGAGTTGGAGAGAAAACTGAGGGCATATTGATACTGATATTTGGACTAGGGGGGAGCACCTGCTGCAGGCTGAGTCTTTGCATACTAAAATGATGGAGCACATTATAAATAATACAGTAAAACTGCTGACATTCAAGTCACATTTCCATGGTATTTCTCAAGGCAGTGATGTGATGAAGGATCCAAGTACGACCACTTCGCATCTTTCACGGGTCCCATTCCTCCCCCAAGAGAGAGATTTGATTTTTACACCTATTGTAAATACAGACTTCCAAAAGGTCTAATTTAAAAGATGAAATCAAGTTCAATTTGGATTTAATTCAGACCTCTTTACACTTCAGTTCAAATGCTGTTTGGAAGGAATGGTTCTTTGTTATTGCTCAATAAATGTAGGACAGGTCATGTTTTACTGTCCTTTTTATGACTGAGCTATTTACTGCAGCAGTGGCTTGGCCACCAGTGTGTTCCTTTAATGACATTGTTTTTCTCTCTCTAAAAGATCCAAGCATTTTTCTTTGCAATGCAAATAATTAAGAAGTCTGGCATTTCCTGTCTAATGAAGACAATGATACCTTTAAGCTTCAAAATTTCCTGAAAAACAATTATATGCAGAGCATGGCAGGAGTTGGGTTTGGAAAGTGCCTTTGTAGCTCTCAGCCCATGTTTCCTAGCAGGATCCTGCCTGGAATCTGAAATGGGATATCTCACTCCTGTGGTTGTATTGGGTTTGCATGACAAGGTTTTGGTTGTATGGGAGCTACAGGGATGGATTTAGTGAGGAGTTGCTGGGAGCTTTCTCATATCCAATGGAGCCAATTCCAGCCAGCTTCAAGATGGGCCCACCACTGCCCACAGCCAAGCCCATCAGCAGTGGTGATAGCACCTCTGGGATAACAAATTTAAGAAGGGAAAAAAGTTATTGCACAAGAGCAAACTGCAGCTGGAGAAAGGAGTGAGAACGTGAGAGGAACAGCTCTGCAGACCCCAAGGTCAGTGCAGAAGGAGGGCCAGGAGCTGCTCCCAGCACCAAAGCAGAGATTCCCCTGCAGGCTGGAGTGCAGCCCGTGGTGGGGCAGCTGTGCCTCTGCAGCCCATGGAGCTCCACAGGTAAGCAGAGTTCCATCTGCAGTCTGTGGAGGAGGAGGAGTTTTCCCAATCTGTTCCAGAACCTGTTGGTTATGAATGACCCAAATTCTCTAATATTTTTTATTATGCAAAGCACGATATTAAATCTAAAGCATGTGATTGCAGGGTGACTTTTACCTAGCCCTGCATGCTGTCTGTCTTGGAGTTGAAGCTCATGGCAAGATTGTGGCACACTTTGGAGCACAAGACCAGACTCTTCCACTGTAGTGGAGCACATGAGTATGGAAATCTCATGGGGAGGTCAGCTGGGGACATCACCAGGGCTGGTTCTTGCTTCTCTGATTTCTGTAGGTTCTTTAAACTCTTCCATGAGCAAACCTGGGATAACTGAATTCCTGATTCCTGTCTGATGAAAGGGTGCTCCCTTTAACTGCTCCTCCAGTAAAACTCCCCTGCCTTTCCCCTCTGCTCAGACACCCTGACATGTGCTAGGCCTGATTTAGAGCTGCCTTTGTCAGACAGTGTCTTAAAACACAAATCAATGAAACAATAGAAAGCAATAGCCTGATACTAATGAAACACATTGTAATTAGAGCTGGCTGGGAATTTTCCAGAGAAAACAGGATAAAAGTGAATTCCCTGATACTGAACTATTTCACATGCCTCATATCCAGCACTTGGGGTGGGGGCAGCCCTTTTCACTTGCCCTTCCAAGCCAGAGTGAATGAAATCTAACCACCAGCTGAGAGACCAGCTCCTCAGCCCTGAGCTAGTGTGTGTTCAAGGGCTAAGGAATAAAAAATCCAGGGTTTTCTTATTTTCAGAAGCCACAAAAATCCATCAAGGGTTATCAGGTAAAGTGGTGTAACTTCTGGGTGAGGTAATCTACAGGTCATAAATTGCTGGTGGCTGGGAAAGAGGATGAGGGAAGCACTGGAGTAGGCTAGCTGGGCTTCTTCCTGAAGTCTCTCTGTTGGAAATAGGCTATTGAGCTGAGTGGATCCCTGCTCATTGTAATGCAAGAAGCCAGGCAATGGCTCAGAGAAGCTGAGATGATTTAGCTTGGTTTAAGCACTCTGTTGAAGTGTGTTCTGGGTGCTTCATCTTAATCTGAACACACGGTTGAAAGCTTTCACTTTTCCTGTGGTGGTACTTTGGGTTTTTAAGCAGCAACAAAGAGTGATTTTGGGCAAACATGTAAACAAGGATCTGGTTTCTGCAGAAGGCAGTTCTAGTAAGAGCATCAGCTAAATCCCCTTGACTTTACTTGGCAGATGGCAGTAGCAGAACATGGCACCGCTCCATAAGTACTTAGATTGGATCTCACTGAGGGCTGTGCCTTGGAGAACCTTGCCCTCAGGTCCAGCATGTGACTCTTATCCTTCTTCCCTTCTTTCAGACGGCCGCCCGATTGGCGTGGAGGGGATCCAGGTGCTGGGCACAGGAAACCTCATGATCTCGGACCTCACAGTGCAGCACTCTGGCATCTACGTGTGCGCCGCCAACAAACCCGGCACGCGGGTGCGCCGCACCGCGCAGGGCAGCCTCGTCGTGCAAGGTGAGCCCCTGGCACCCCGAGGGCTTGGGCTGGACAGGTGCTGACTTCACTTCTCTGGTGCTACCAGGCAAAGCACTGCTTTTCTAGACATGTGGTTTCCCAAGTGGGGGTGTGTCTGTGTCCCACGCAGGTGAGTCGCAACCAGGTGTGGTTCAGCTGAGGCATCAGCTGTATGGGCTACAGTGATTTCTCACCCCATCACAGGCATTTGTCTTAGCAGACTCTGGTTGTTACTTGTTACCATACTTGTGTATCTCGGCAGAAAGCCTGAATTAATCAAATTTGTCTCATGGACCTTAGTGATAGAAGGACATGGTCACTGTTCTCATACTGGACACCTGTGAATGATAGATATATCTCCTGCAGTGATATGCAGCAGTGGATACCACTCACAGAGTATTGCTTTCCAACTGAAATGGCACCAGGAAGTCTAAAACCATTTCCATGTGATCCTGTTTCATGTAGCAGTTGACACTGTCTGAGCCAGTTGCCAGGACCTAGTGAAGCACCCTTTGGGGTCTGTGCCCATGGGATACAGGTTGCTCCTCTTCCTGCAGCAACTGTCCTGAAATGCTACTTGTAAAGGGCAGTTCAGCGCAAAGTAGAGATCAATACTAGGGAAAACACACAAATCCCTTCCACATGCTCCTGCAACCAGTCTCCATGGTGAGGGGAGCCAGGCAAGCATTTGAGAAGGCAAACCCAGCTGGCAGCGTGCTCTGAATGGCAGCAATCCGCCCCTGATTACAGGCACTCACCTCCTCTTCAAGCTAGTCCACTTAAAGCATCTCACGCTCTCATCAGTTCACTCATTAACTATTGACTGATGATATCCTGAATCTAAAATTACACACCTCCTGCCGGAGCTGCTAATTGAACCTTTCTGCTGCTGATGGGGAAAGTGCCCTGCTCCAGCCCCGACGCTCACCCTGCTCCAGCCCTGATGTCACCCGACAGATCGCGGGAGTCGCAGGCGGTGATCCTGCCGGCCGTGGAGGAGCAAGGTAGGAAGGGTGTAGAAAGGGCTGCCCGTGCCTCCTGAGCCCCAGGTGCTGATCAGACAAGGAGACAAGGTGAAAACTCACTGTTTCTATTGCTCTTGGATTTCTGGGTGAGCAGTGCAATAAGAGGACCTCCCAGCTGGCACAGCTATGAATCCCCTTATTAAGAAACATCAACCCCAGCATTAAGAGCAACCTCTCTGTACTGATAGAAGCTCTTTAGAGCTGCTGCAGGACAGCTCTGCATATGGTGCATGTAGGAGAGGTCTCCTAAGCCCACATGCCAAGCTGATGTCCAGAAGGCAGGGAGGCAGACCCAAAACAAATTATTTGGAAAATCCATGAAGTTTTAAAAATTCAGCTATTGAATATGGTTAATTTGTCCTGTTAGCAACTGAATGAGAGGGTGAAAGGTAGCAGAACTTCTCATTGCTACAGCTAGCAGTTTTTAGTCTTTTTGGAGATTAGAACATCAGCTCTTGAGCAACTGGTCTAGTGCTGGAGTTTAGCTGATGTACAGTTACTGTGAATTTTCTCCTGGCAAGCCAAGATGAGCATTTGTCCCTAAAATGTCACTCACAGGGCCATTGGAGCCATCTTTCTGTGGAAGCAGGATGCCCCTGCATTCAGCATCAGCAGAGAAGCTGGCAGTGGTGTGGAAAAGTGTGGCCAGTGTGTCCTTAGAGTAACCCTTAGACAAGACCTGCAGTGTCCAGGACCCCAACCTGTTTTGCCCATCCTTAAAATGCTTCGTGTTTTTTAGGGGAATGTTCCCCAAGCAGAGTAGGGGCAGACCCTGGCCAGGCAGCTGAGCTCATCCCAGGTTTGCTCACGCTCCCTCTGGAAGCAGTTTTTCCTGCCTCTGCATCTCATTTTGCCTGAATTTTCCAGCTGAGAGGTACAAATGATTGCTGTTCAGGTTCATCTGGGAAGAAAACAGTGATAATGACTGACATGGGAGGCTGTGGGTTTTATCTTTGTCAAGATGTCAGCGATGCAAATTACATCCGTAAAGAGAAGAAAAGCAAAGAGCGGGCTATCAAAAGCCTGGTTGGAGAGGAAGTTAGCACAGGGCTAGGACAATACGGCATCCTCAAAGCACACCAGGCCAGGTACTTGCTGCCTTTATGCAGGAGCCCTTGAAGTGCCCGGAGGCACAAATTAACTTGCCCCAGTCTTTTGAAGGCAGGACGTTTTATAGGTGGGAAACTGGAGGAGAAAGGGCGATGTTTCCTGTTGTAAGGCAAGGAGTTAGCGAGAGGCTGGAACTGAGACCATGTCCTCCCTCCTGCTGCCAGCAGTGGTCCTTGTCCCATCCAGCAGCTGCGTTTTGGGCAGAGGTGTCCCAACACAGGGCTCTGCTCTTCCTCCAGCAGTAATGTCCTTTCCATTGCAGGTTTTCCTTCAGATAATCTAACACCATCTTATTACCTTCCTGGGAATTCCTCCTCCCTCCAGAGGAGAAGGCGTCAGTCCCCCACTCCTTCCCTCCCTGCTCTCCCTTGGCCATTTAGGCTCCTTTGATCTCTTTTGTAAGGTTCTCACACAAGAAAGTTTCCATTTTCCCTTCAGATCCAAGCGCAGCCATTTGAATATTGCTTTGTGCTGAGCTTCGAATGAAAGTCTCACGGGGGGAGTTGTCGAAGGGCCGAATGCGGCGCCGACTGAAACCGAGGGTGTGCGTGTGTGTGAGGCGAGGGAAGAGCAGCCTTCAGTGGCAAGGGAAAAAATATATCAAAGCACTTTCCCTCTACCTCCTGTGCAATCTTTTGTGCTTTATTATGTGTTTGGTGTCATAACAAACTGATGGGCTGTGAATGGCCAGATGGTCACCAGTGTTCTCCACTCCACGCTTCATTTCCTCCTGAAAGCTATGCAGAAAAATGAGATCCCATCTCATAAATGAGGGCCCATCTTAAGGACATGGGTTTGAAGGCTCTGCTGACAATGCGTGCCTTGTTTGCCTTGCTTGCTGTTGGCAGGACTGGGCAGCACTCCTTGGTCCAGCAGATCCGGCCACCGCTGCGCTTCCTGATCCATCGTTCTTGTTCGCTGGCATCACAAGCCTTGGCCGGGGCTGGAATTCAGAAGCAGATGTATTGCAGTTGCTGTGGTTTAGGCTTGGCTCTGTGGTACTTAGTTTGTCCTTGAGTTTAGCCCTGAATTCATTCTTCAAACCAGCTTCAATATATGCTGTGTGAGTCAGTGTCCCCTTCTTGTCCACATTTTCCTTGTCAAGAAAAGCCACCATGCAGGGACAGATGGGCACTCAAATCTTGTCTGTCAGGATGCTGGAGTGAGCTGGGGTGTCTGATCCCTGAGGACCATTCTTCCAGGACCACACTTGTGGGTGCCATGGGAACATACCCTGCTGCTGTGGAGCTCCAGCCTGCACCTTGCTGGGACAAAAATCTCATGAGGGCTGAAAGGCAGGCTCCATGACAGTCCCCTTGAGTGTTCTCTGCCTGTTTTCCAGGGGACATGGGCACAGTTTCCATCTTTGGCCCTTCCAGTCCCATCACTGCTACTGTAATTTGCTCAAGTAAACATCTGAGTATCCTCTATAGTGAAGAGAGAGAAGCCGAGTGAGCAGCAGTTGTCTTAAATCTCCTGTCACCATTTGCTGTGCTTGAGTGACTTCCTCATTGACCTGACTTCTCCTTTATATCCTTATTGTGGGTGCCAGTAGCCTAATTTATGAGGTTTTGTTGTTTCCATGTTATTCTTCCTTCTCTTCACCCCAGCCCCCCTCTCCAACCCTGCCACTCTATCCACTTGAAAATTAACGACACTTCATACTGAGATGCAAGAGGCATGGATTGGTCTGGCACCAGAGCATTGGCTGTCAGTGCTCCCTTAACCTTAGGATCTTCTCAGTGATCCTTGGGACCTTCTGTGAGCCATCAGGTGCTGCCATAAGCATCACACCCCAACCTCACAGCAAGGACAGCAAAGCTCCCTGACACTGGTTGCTGGTCCCTGCTGACATGTCCTGAAAGAGATGGAGCCCACTGGGGCCTCCTGTTAGAAGCTGCTGTTGCAGTGCATCTCCACGCTATCACAGTTTGCTGAACACAGTAAAAGCCATTGAATTACTTTGTTAACGATTCTGGGGGGGTATTAAGCGTTATTGCTTTTTGATACCAATGTCATGCCTTTAAATATTCATTAAAACTGCATGATCCCCTCCCTCCCATTAAGTCCTGAATAATCAACACTCTGGTTTCTTCATACTTCACAAGCCAGGGCTGGATCCTGCCCACTCCTTGCCACGTTTGAATCCTCTGCTCTTAACAGTGGTCTCTATTCGTATCTTTATTAAATCTTAATGGAGGACTGAGAAATGCTTGCTCTGGCTGCCTGCGATGGCTTTTGGCACGTAGTGTGGAAGGGGCAGAGGTGTTCAGGCCACTGTGCCTCCATGCAGGGTGGGATGGGCCCTGGGATGGGCCCTGACAAGATGCTCTGCTAATTATGAGTGATGAGGGTGAAGGGCTGGCAGTGGGCAGGGCTTGGCTGAAGACAAGGCTGGCAGCCGGCAGGGTTGGCTTCTGCTCCTTCCCCACTAACCCAGGCAAACTCCTGGATCCTGTCAAAATCATTTGGAAGGGCAGGGGGAGGACCTGGGAGAGGAGATTATTTTCTGCCCAGGAAAGGAGCCGTTTGCCCTGAGACCACAACCAGCAGTTGCCTGAGGGCACCTTCCTCAGGGCACTGGCTATGAACACAGGTTGGGTGCATCCTGGTCCAGGTAGCAGAGGGCCACCCACTCAATCCATGTCCTTTAAACTCCATCTGTTCCCAGACCATGTCCTCTGACTCCATGGGTTTCTGTTTTGACCTGGGCCATTTTGGTACTACAACTTCACACTGTTGAAACCTCAACAGGACAGAGCAATGTCTGGAGAAAGCCAGGAAGAGCCAGAACAGTGGAAGGGCAATCTATGTCTTGCAGTGAGGGATGTCATGGAACAGGGAACAGCTCGGCACAGCAGAGGTGGGATCCTGCTCCCCTGAGAGTTTAAACAAGTTAAGCAGGGGCTGGGGTTGTGTTCAGCAAGGCTGCAAAGTGGAGGGATGGCAGAGGGGAGCAGGGACCCGAGGAACCCGCGGGCCGTGGCACCGAGCAGTGTGACTGGCGCCGAGCCAGCGGCCGCAGCTGCACGTTCGTTACCCCGAGTCACACGCGACCCCGCTCCAATTACCGCCTCTTGACATGGGCTAATAAGGGAGGATAAGGAGAGCCGGCGGTTCCAGAAGGGCTATGCCGGATGCTTCTTTCCATATTTCAACTTTGTTTCTGCTGAACAAACGGTGGGTTTGAGATTTGATGAAGCGAGGGGGAGGCAGAGGCAAAGAGCCAAGAGGATCTTTAATGAAGCTGCAGCGAGGAGCTGGAAGGTGGCTGTGCCCTTCCTTGGCATCGTGGGTTTGCACCTGCGAGTGCTGCGGGTGCAGCTCGGGAGCCCAGATGAAAGCAGGGAGGTGCACAGCCACTTGCAAAATAATTGCTCCTGCAAAACCGCGCCAGCACAAAGCGGGGGGCGGGAGGCTGAGGAAAATTAAGTCTCTAATGCTCTCACTGTACACCACAAAGGGGCCATTCATGGCAGGGATAAGGGGTTTTCCCCCTGTTTATCTTTGCTTCCAACTTTTATTGAACCCATCCTGAGTTTTGTTTTAATCTTTAAGTGGAGCAAAAACACAGAAGGGAAGCAAAAGGGCAAGAGATTGATTGGCACATGGAGAAGTTTAGCAGGAGGTTCTGGAGGTACGTGTCCATTGGGTTGCTGGGATCAGGTTCATCAGTGGAGCCGAGCGCTGACAGCAGTGGCCTGACAATAAACTCTGCTGGCTGTACCAGTAACGTAAGTCAGACCTGCCATGCTCCACTTCCCTCTGATTATTAAAAATGAAGGAGGAGGCTCCTTCAAGGGGGGAGAGGCTATGTGATGAATTCCTCTGTCTTCCTGCTTGGAGGAATCTGCACAACTGGACTTTTACCCTCACACAAGCACCTGTCCCTGCAGTTTGGCCGTGTTACAGCAGTAGCCATGCTCTCCCCTTACTGGCACACAGCTGAGAAAGACCTTTATCCCCCCAAAATGCTGCAGGAAATCCCAAGGGATGTTTTGGCCATGCTCAGTTCTTGCATTCCCACCTGCAGCCTGGCCACTCCTCAGTATATTTTGCTATATAAGAGACAAGTTTGCTCCCTTCTCCAATCCCTACATCTCTGCTTGTGGCACAGCCACCAACCCTTAGAAAATGCCAGTGAGTGGCTCTGAACGTGTCTCCCTCGATAATCTTGCTTTTGTCAAAAAAATTTAATGTCAGCCATCCGTTACGTGATGTTAGTCAGTAAATTTATTATGGAGCTGTGCCTCTTATCTGTTTGTCTTCATTGTGTCTGCTGCCAGTTCCACCTGATTTTAGGTTTCAGTAGCAACATGCAGTATATTTATCACTTTGCCCTTTGAAGCAGAACTGCTTGAATAATCTCACTTATTTGGCAGTGTCTGTCAGGCCCTGCTTTCTGTAGGCTGAAACGCTGGTTTATTCTGATAAATTATTTTAAATCTAATTTGAGCTGCTGGAAGGAAGAGATCACTTTCTGTTTAAAAATGTTACTGCCAAAGGTGAAAACATTTGGTGACAAGGTGAGCAGCAGTTACAGGCATGGTGAAGTCTTCTGCAAGGCTTGGCAGGACCCCAGAAGTCCCAAGTTGAAGATCTGGAGTAAAAAAGGTTCCCTAATCTTCTGCTGACAAGAAGAATTGGCAGTAAACCTGATATTTACTGTGGAGAGAACACCCTGCCAGATTGCTGTATAATATCCATACATTTCTTTCCATTTCAGCAGTTTGCTAATGCCATTCAGGTCCTTTGGACACAGCCAGGGTGTTGGTCAAGCTCTGCTGTTGAGGAAGCAGCACATCTGCCCAGCTGCAGCACTGGGGTTGCTTTCCATGGGAGACCAGGGAGAGGAGAAGGAGCTTAAACCTTGGTCCTGTTTGCCTGAACCCTGCAGGGCTCATCTCAGCTTTCATCACTTCTGATCTGGCCTTCAGGCGCCTCCTGTGAAGCCATGACTGCCAGGGTGGGCAACCAAAAGGCAGCTTTGCATTGTTTACAGACACACCACCCAAACCAGAGTGACCTGCTGCCTGTGCTGTGGGTTGAACAAGTATTCCATGTTCCTGGGCGGACAGGGTTTACTGACAAGATGGTTTTTTGTACCAGGATAACGTGGGGTCATCAGGACTTTTCTCACCCTCTTTCTCCTTCCTCCTCTCAGCCCCAGCAGAGTTTGTGCAGCATCCCCAGTCCATTTCCAGACCCGTGGGGACTACTGCAATCTTCACATGCGTGGCCCAAGGGGAGCCCCCTCCCCAGATCACGTGGCTGAGGAACGGGCAGATCCTGGAGACCAGCGACCACATCAAGCTGAAGAATAACAACAGGTAGGTCCTGCTGCACTGGGCTCTGGCTCTGCTGTGGAAGTGGGAGTGGGAGAGATGCTGGATTGCTTTCTGCATAGCAAAGAGCTGATGGGAAAGTGGCAGTGTTCTGAAGCAGATCTGGGGATCCAGCTTGGGCTTTGGTAAACTAAAACACTGCTCCAGTCCTGCTGGCTGCACCTTATAGTCTTACAGTTTGGTGCTCCATGATTTTTTGTGCCAGGACATCAGCATTAGACTTTGATTGTTGATGCAGGAACCCAGGAAAAGTTTCTCTTTTTTTTCCTGATCATCATCTGGGTATTTCTGGAAGGGCTAAATGTTGTACCTGGAGCTGGCAGGGACCACATAGAGTCCTCAGTGGAGGAACTATGCTTTAACACCTGAACATTGACCTGCCTGGGTGTGAAAATGCAAATACATTAGAAATAATGTTTGTTTGGAGCCTGACTTTCACTAAACTTTAGCCTTTTATCGCACCAGGGAAGAGTGTGTTCTCTGAGTACTAAATAACTGCATTTTCCTGGGAGGGGATGAGGATGTTTGTACTGAGGAAATGATGCACTTAGTGTGAAAATTACCAGTCAACAATGTAGTTTCTATGGTAATAGCATGAAAAAATATACTACAAAATAATAGCATCTGTGTTGTAAACCTGATGTATTGGTAGAGGTTTGTACTCTCTGGTGTCATAGAGCTGCTCTCTCTATTAACAAATGTGTCTCAGGAAAGCAACTACCCAGCCTCGCTGGAGGGTCTGGACCTTCAGTTTAGACAGTTGGGAATTGCTGTGCAGGCACCATGGCTTGTTCCTCAGGGGACAAGAGTGTGTTTATTTTTCTGAGTGCCTATATAATGTGGGTTTTCTTTGTTTTCTCATTTGAAGGGTTTTAAAGCTTTGTTACATGAGGGATGGAAGGATAAGGTGTGATACAAGAAGGATAAGGTGTGAGTGGTAATAAAATCATCTCAATCAGTAGAGATTTTCTCCAAACTGGAAGTTTTTAGAGCTTCAGAAAACTTTGTATGTTCACACACAGATGACACTCGGTTCAGGTGTGTAGTCTTCTAGTTCATGGCGTGGCTTTCTGAGGCATGTCTGCTCTTTATGGTGTGAGCAGAGCAGAAAGGGTAGGAGGGAACTTAGTGCATCCCTTTCTGGTGATGAGGAAGTGAAGTCAAAAGTGGTCAAGTCTCAAGTGGCCATTAAATCCATGGCAAAACTGACACTGAATCCAGCTCTGTGTCTCTCCCAGATGTTTTCCCTGTGAAATTATTGCTCTTCACTTGAGGAGTCAGGTCTTTGGTCATGGTCACGTCTCCTGGCCAGGTCCCTGTGCCTGGAGCTGTGCTACCCATGCCCATGAACTGCAACTTGGTGAACATCTCTGTAATAATTTTCTTATGGGAATCATTTAATGCAATTCAGCATCAGTCTTTTCCACAGCAAGCTAAATGATCAGGTTTCAGCATCTGGCACAGGCTGAGGGAGCTCAGCCCATTCCTGGGGCTCAGCTGACACGTGGCATCTTCTCAAGCTACAGTAATGTGATTGTAAAGCTGAGCCCTCAGGCCATCATACTCAACAGTGTTGAACTTTGGTCGTCTCACACTAGTCTTGGTCGACTCCAACCTCCAGCTCCAGGCAAGTGGCCATGCCTGGTGGTTGCCAAAGCTTTCAGTCTGGAAAATGCCCTCACTGGTGCAGCAGGGCTGGAAGCTCCAAGACATGGAGGAGACACAACAATGGATGTTTTTTTTACCTGAGCTTTTTCAAGTTTGCCCTTTGTTTTACTCTCATGGGCATGACTGAGTGCTGTAACCTGCTTAGTTCAGGCAGAATCAGTTTTGGTTATGTCTTGGATTTATCAGTCTGTTGCGCTTGGAAAATATTTGTCGGTGTAAAGATGGATCTCAAATATACTAGCAATGAAGCTACTAAACTACAGTATGAGCTCTTTAATTAGATTACATGGTTTCCTAGAAAATTCATTTGGATTAAAACTCTGCTTAATATTGTCATAGAGGTCTGAATGCCCCCTAAGGGATTTTTGGGAAAAAAACCCCAGGAAGTCATCCCAAACCATATCATGTGCTAATTGATTGCAAAATGTGTCATTGGGAGCAACTTCATTTTTGTAAATTAACACAGGCAAAAGCAAGGTTCAGACCTGCAGAAGATGGTGTGTTTGAGATACTACTCTACTCCTGCAAGCTTGAGGCCCTGTGGGCAGCAGCACAAACCCACAGCCAATGGATCTGTTTCTTCCCAAAGTTGTGAAGGGCTCTTTTGCATCTGCCTCACCCCACAGTCACTCATATGCAGTAACTGCAAATCCAAGGAGAGCATATCCTACAAGGTGAGGGAACTCCAAAACCCTTCATTGCTGGGATGCAGCTTCAGGATTGGATTCACTGGAGGTTGGATGTGACTGCTGGTACAACATCAGATATTCACTTGCTAAGCAACTTCCTGGCTTTCAGCACAGTAACATCAGCCTCACGGGCTGCATCCAATAAATACCTCATCCCTTGTGGTCCCTCAGATGTGAATTCCCATCACCTGATGTGTTGACGGTTTCTGGGCACATTAGCATTAAAGATCAGCCTTCTACTGTGCCCTCTCCAGAGGTGGTTGTTATGTTTTGAAAATGCCAGCTGTGTGGGAACAAAATAGCCAATCGATGATTAGCAAAAAATCAAAAGCAGTTCTGGGATAGCGGATAATTGTTAATGAAAAATGCATGAAGGCTCAGGCATAGGGAATTGTGGGCTTTTCCATTAAAAGCTGTGAATAAAAATGACTGAAGGAGCTGAGGATGGGGCTGCCTTGCCATGCAGCCCCTGGGCTGGGGATGCAGCCGGCTGCTGTCAGGGTGATGCTGTGCTGAGCCATTCCAGAGGGAGAAGCTGATGGAGCCTTTTGGCCTTTGGTGGAGCCATCCCTGTGTCCAGCAGTGGCAGAGTCTGTCCCTCTATGCTGATCAGAGATGCCCATGTTGCTCCTGGAGTGATTCTGATAGATCATGATCCAAATGCCTGAGAGGTATAAAGCAAATTTCTAGCAAAATTCCTACCCAGCATCACCAGCCCATCCCAGAAGTGGAGTACTGCTGCAGAAGGAAGGTGTGGTTACTGGCCAAGTTGGGGTTGTGTAAAATTCATTTACACATGGGCTCGTGTAAAATTATGTTTCTAGGTTATTACTTCAAAATTTACAAGGAAGCATGAAATAGCCCCCAAATTACCACTGTAAAAGGTTTATTGCTTTTCTTCCTTTGACCCAGTCAGATTCAGGGGGGTAATTTTCAGCCTCGAAGTGTATCATACTATGGGGTTTATATTGCCATAATAGCAAGGAACAAAGGCCAACATCTTCAGAGAAGGCAGGCTCTCTAAATATTGATTTTCCAAGAAGATTATATTTACAAATTGTAATTAAGGGACTTAATTTGTTCCACCGGAAAAAGGCTTTGTTAGAATTTGGGCTCAGGTGGCATTCGCTCTGCTTGGTGACCTTTGTAAATTCTTCCTCACTGGTTTGCACTTGGTTTAGTGCTCTGGAAATGTCTCACTACCAGGACCATGAATGTTCAAGGCTCATCAAGGGAAATACTCCTTCATAAATAAACATCAGGACAACTTTGCTCTTCTTGCACTTCTCATGCCGTTAAATCCCAGTGCAGAAACAGAGAGGGGCCTTCGAGCACAAACATCCCAGCACCTGGGACCTGACAGCCCTTCTGGTACCAAACCCAGGGAAACCAGAGCCTGTCATCCAAAAGGTGACTTTTTTTCTGTAAACCCTACATTAGCTGGGTGTGGAAAGGTGCAGATGGGTTTGTACATCCCTTCATGGTGCACACTCCTTACAAACACTTCAATTTGTATGGTTTTGGACCATATAAGGGAGGACAGTGAAGTCTGCAGTTCCTTATGCCGTGAGTCTGAAGATGGTGTGATTGAGGGAAGAGTGCTCTATAGCAAATCATACTTCAGTTCCCAGAAGCATGACAAATAAGTATGTGGAAGATGGGGATGTGAACCCGCTGCTCCTGATTTAAGCATAATTTATGGGTTTGACTTTGGAAGACACATGGAAATGGCCCTTGCAAGGAGGACAGCTGCACGAGCACACAAAGCCCTCTAAGCAGTGGGGAATCAGCGTGGTCCCTGCACCAAGCAGGGATCCTGTGCTGGGATCACACAGCCATATCCCACAAAAAGGACCTGCACAGCCCCGGATCAGCCAATGGCAACAGGCATCAGTTTTTCCTTCTCATGTGGCTGCGATTATTTTGCTACCAAGTTGCCTGTGTAATTTCTCTGTGTGCTGCTCCACTGAGCTGCTCTTGAAGTGCATCAAGTCAGGAGTTTAAGTGTTTGTTCCAGGTGTTGCACACAGAAAAATCCATCAGCTGAGAATGGTCCTTACACAGGAGGCTTTGAGGCAGAACTGAGCCCATAGTGGTGCAGCATAAAATTAGTCTCCCCAAAATTAGGCTGGGTCTTTTCCTTCTTCAGTATCTGTGCTGCTTGCTTGGGAAAAGTTTGGGGGACTTTTCCATTTAGCAGCAGAGAGCTCTCCCAGGTATCTGCATTTGCAGTCCTACCAATTTAGGCTCTGCTCTCCCTTCCAGTAGCTTTTCCTGAGATGTTTTTTGCTCCCTCATGGTCCTGAAAATGTAAAGACTTCTCTGCTTCCTGGGGCAGGATTCAGTTAAGTCTGTGATTGTACTCTGTGGCTCATAAAAGCAGACTGAGTGGGATGAGCAAGAAGCTTCCAGAAGCTGCTCTTGGGTCAGTCTGAAATCACAAGATTGGGCTGGGATTCTGGCAAGTGAGCTGCAGTACCTGCAAAACAGAAATGAGTCTTTCAGCACAACCAACCCAATTTTACCTAGGACGTTCTGTATGATATTTAATTTCTGGATGTGTAAGAATATGCCTATAGAGGGCTGGGAATGATATGCAGTGTCCCTTTGGGTTGCTGAGTGTCACTTTTCAAGCTTTGCACCTTAATTTCAGCCTGTATGAGGTAACCTTCAGAATACAGGGCATTTCTGCAAAGCTGGGGGGCAAAGGCTCCTTCCCAGCGTGACACGGGCCAGCAGCCCAGGAACAGATCATTCAGTGCAGTGCAGCACAGCACAACACAGGCCATGACAAACAGAGCCAGAGCACGGATGGGGATCTGAATGTGGCACTGGTGGCTTTCTGTATCTGCTGGCACTCAGAGTGCTGTCCCTGCTAGCCACAGCCTGCTCTCTGCATTAATTTCATCACACTCCCTCCTTTGTGCGCCTGTGCGTGCACAGGCCGATGCCCTCCCAGATGGGCCCCTCTTCTTTGTGCTCCTGAATCGATGAAGAGGCTTCCTTCAGTTCGCAGACTTTTTCAGAGGAGCCTTTGGAAAGCCGATCTCCGGTCACCGGCCTGGACCCCTGACCCGAGGCAGATCAGTCATCCTGATTGCCCGTGAGCTGGGAAGACAGCTTGGGAATACTGCGGCTTTCGAGCGGCGGAGGCCTCTCGTTTCAGCTCAGCCGGGTGTGAATCTGCAGCAGCTCCTCTCCCCACTTCCATCAATGCCTGTCAGGGCATTGTGCGGGGATGACGGAGCCCTCGGCTCGCCGAGCGGCTCTGGTGACCAGCAGAAAGCCTTCTGGCATCTCGCCTCGTCTGACGTGCTCACGGCGCTGCCAGTCTGGCACTCACGGGAAAGTTTTCCAGCAGCAGATGTCCCAAAGTGACAGATTTTTTTCGTGTTGACGGGAAGAAATAAAAGGACACTGCATATTTCAGATGGTTGACGCATAGAGACGCTCTGCGCCTTCTCACACAACAACTACAGATCTTCCTTTTGTTTGAGCTTTCTTAAAAAAAAAAAAAAACAAAGACAAAAAGCAGAAAAACCTGGAACTGAACCTTGCTGCACAGCATCCTCCACATGCTGGGAGGTGATTCTCATGGAGCTGCTGTTTAGATGCTGGGCATTCTGTTCACCAGTTTCTCCATGCTCTCTTTAGCCAAAAATCCAGCTGTTTTAGTGTCCCGTTACCTGCATATCATTCTAGGTGACGTGGGCTCCAGGTAACGGATGGCCAAGGCTCTCACTGCACATCAAAACACAGCCAAGGAAATCTCAATGAGAATGAACTTTTTGAAGCCTGAAGCAAATTTCCAGCTATGTGCCATGCCAACTTCCCAGAAAATGCTGTATTTATTTCTTGTGACTTGACTGCATGACAGAGACAGCTCCAGGTCCCAGTGGCCTAGTGCCATCCTTCCAGGAGCACTGGCATCCTTCACATCATCTGTGTCCTACATGAGGGGCTTTGCTCACCCCCAAATCCTCCCAGGAGAGAGAAGCCTTTGGCCCCAGAATCACAGCACTGCCATCAGGCTCCTTGCACTGCTTTTCAGCCTAGCTCCCCTCTTCCTTCTTTCCTTCCTTCCCCCTTCCTTCCTCCCTCCACATCTCTAAGCAGAGGAAGTAAATGCACCTGGAGGCGGCAGAGCCTAAATACTCCTTGGTCCAGATCTGCTTTGTGCTTGGGAAGCTTAAGGCTGCTCTTGGCCCATGTGGCAGCCCAGCCTGGCTGCTCTGGGTGCCCAGATGCACAGCAGCCACATGGAAATAATCCTTGCATTGACAGGGCAGAAGGAATTGCTGCTGCTCCTTCCACACATCTGCTTTGTGCAGGGCTGGGAGTGCAGCTCTGGGATGGTGTAATTCTGCCTTCTGCCATCTGTCCTCACAGGAGTCAGCCCTTGTTGACACAGCTGAGCCACACATCGGGTCCTTCCTCCCCGAGCCCTCTCCCAGCTCTGCCTTTCTCCTTCCATTTAATCAGATACGTTGAGCCCATGGCTATGAGAGGAGCTTAGGGCTGATTCTCGAAAATCACCATATCAGCTGAAACCATCACATTTGATATTCCATTTACAATGTTTCCAAGGAAACAAAGGCACAGGACATAAATAGATGACTGTTAAACATTTGCTCACTCACCATGGCCCCCGATAATTTGCAAGGCAGAAATAGGAATGTTAAATCAACAGCAATAATAAATTTTAATATATGAAGACCAATATTTTGCTGCAATTAGAAGAAGCATTTGTTCTGACATACAGGCAGGCAGTGGCAGGTTATTTATCATTTCCACTTCCAATGTTCATTTTTTCATTTACATAAAAGGCAGCTTTGATTCTGATTCCCAAAAAGCCTTCAAGTGCCCCCTGCATCAGCAGGGATGCTTGGGATTTACTCAAGTTCCAGGTCCACCTAGAATTTTCTGCAGGAGAAGAAAGTAATTTGTTTCTCCTTAGACGCAAGTAGTGGATGTGGATTTCATTAGGTTTGGGTCATTTCTTATAGAAAAGAAAGAAAAAGCTCATGTGAGCTTCTGAAGTTTTCCAAAGGATGTTCTGTGTGTGAGAACACCCTCCCAGGACCAAAGGCACTATAGGCAGATTTTACCATAACCTGAGCTGCTGCCTCAGAGTTGAGTAAAAAAAAAAAAACATCTCCAGTGTCAAATCTGCCTTTCCAGCTCAGAGCTGTACCCAGTGGTGGCAGTGACCATGCCATGCCTTAGAAGGGAGATACACTTGGTATTTATTTATTTATTTAGGAGACCTTGTGTGTGATGGATTCACATACTGAATCATGTTGTTCCTGGCTTGGCTTGGAGTGGAACTTTCATTGATGGGTCCCTGTTTGTGAGCAGATGTTACTAAGAATAGCTGCTTTGCACATTCAAATGGCAAGACAGAGTTCCTGTGGCACACGATTATTTCTGAGTCAGTATTCACTGGTGTTGTTTTAAAGATATTGGGTGGTGCAACTTTTGAGTTGGCCCTGAACTTGCTCCAGTTGTCCACAGCCATTGCTGGAGGCTCCTGCAGTGCAGAAAGGGCCTCCAGATCATGTGGCCACATGTACAAAGACTCTGGCTGCCCCTGTGCAGAGATGGGCACCACGCTCAGGAATATGCTCATTTGGGAGGCTGGTACATGCCTGGCTTTTCCCCCTGCTTCAGGTTTGTTTTCCAGGGTAGTCAGTGCCTGTCCTTTCTTGGGTGATGAAAACAGCATCTAAACCTCATGTGGAAGCCCCCAAGAGCAGGCTGGAAGAACTGTTCTGGTTGTTTCCCTGGAAGGCAGCAAGCTTTGATGCACAAGCATCAAAAATACACTCAGAGGTTCTGCAGATAAAAGCTGTGACTTGTTCATAAGCTTTGGCTTTTGGCTCATGGTGATGGTGTTTCTGGAAGTGCAGAAGTGGGAGCTGAGGCTATAACCCTGCTGGAGAAATCAGCTAATCCCAGTGTTACCCTTAGACAGCTCTAATGTGCTATAATGCAATTAGAGCATCACCAGAGGGCTTTCTGGCTGTGTTTGATTGGACTTGGCTTAGCAACCATGCACGGTGCCTGGATGGGTCTCACTGGTGTGTACTGGAGATAAGCCAGTTAAAGCTGTTTTGGCTGTGTGGATGCACTTGCCACAGAGCTGGCTCTGTGGTGTGGCTGGGACCTTCCTGAACCCACACCTTTAGATCCTGCTGCTCCCTGTCCCACTCTGTGCCTACATCTGGCTATACTTGAACCACAGGACCTGCAGGTCGAGACAGATAAACTGCCCAGTCACAGGGAATGACACATCCATTTCCTGGACTTCCCCTTCCCCAAAAGCTCCAGCCCATAGCTTCCTGAAAGCTTTCTGTGGAAACAGAGACCGTGGGATGCCCTGCCATGGGAGCCAGCATGGGGACCATGGCAGTCAGTGTGATGCTTGTCCCTCTCATGTCCCCACACAGCACTCTCTCCATCTATGGGATCAACCAGGCGGATGAAGCCATCTACCAGTGCCTGGCCGAGAACAGCGCGGGCTCCACGCAGGCCAGCGCGCGCCTCACCGTGCTGTGGGCTGATGGGCTGCCCAGCCCTCCTCAGAGCGTGAGGGCAGAGACTGTCTCTGCAACCACCATCCAGGTGTCCTGGGAAAAGCCCCTGCAGAACACCAAGGAGATCATTGGCTATGTGCTGCACATCCGGAAAGCTGCAGGTACGGTGCTACACCCGCTGCCCAGAGCACCCTCAGCCTTCCTGTAATTCAGCAACACGGCCCACTAGGTAAAACCAGGCCTGCACTGCAGTGATCCATGCTGCCATCAGTGTTTTTCCTCATCTCCCAGTTTCTGAAGGGTAGAGATTTGGCTGTAAATACCTGCAAATACTAAATATACCATTGTAATTATCAAAAGGGTGGGGAGGATGAGGCTGCATAGTCAAATCTTGTTGCCCATGTAGCTCTCTGGCAAAGCACGCAGAGATCACAGAATCAGAATGGTTTGCGTTGGAAGGGGTGTTAGGATCATCCAGTTCCAACCCCTGCTACAGGCAGGAACATCTTCCACTAGACCAGGTTGCTCCAAGCCGTGCCCCAACCTTACTAATTTCAATGGCCTTGAAATGTAAGCAGAAATGTGTGTGAGCAGGTACATGTCCACCCCACGGACCAAAATTACTGCTTGCAACATCTATTTATTCTCTTTACCTCTTGCAAAGTCTGACACCGCTCAGTTCTCTCTCCCTTTGCATTTCAGATCCCGTAGAGATGGAGTACCAGGAGGCTGTTAGCAAGAGCACCTTCCAGCAGCTAGTGACTGATCTGGAGCCCTCGACCAGCTACAGCTTTTATATAAAGGCTTACACCTCCCGGGGTGCCAGCAAAGCCTCAGAAGTCACGGTGGTGAGCACGCTGGGGGAAGGTAAGGAGCGCTCTGCGCAGGGACCCTCAGATGCCGACGCCCGCTGTGCGTAGCAGCAGCGCCGCTCACCCCGACACCGCCCCGCAGCGCTGTGGCACTGTAGCCTGTGGTGCTGCTGCTCCTTGTTCCTGCTGCTCCTCCTACTCTGGGATATTGTGTAAAAGTCACTTGTATCCTTGCAGGGGGGTTGACTGATTAAACACAGCATCGCCTCTCCCAGCTGATGTTGTAGCAGGGGGTGAGTGCAAACCTGCCTGGCCTGGTGCATTGCAGCTGCTCTGGGCTGTTCCTAAACTCCTTGCTAAATGCAGACTTCCTGCTCAAGCAGCATCTCATCATTTTCCAGCAGCTCTGGTACTCACAGCTCTTACTTGACAAGTGCCACACTTTCAAAGATTTTGTTATTTCTGCTCTATCCAGGGCAAACCACACTAGAGCTGATCTATCCTGGCCTACAAATCCGTGCCCTGGAGCAGCTTTCTGTTTCAGTGGGAAGTTAGGGTGATCTCTAAGGCCTTTTTTTTTCCCCTGAGTTGGCCACCAGTTAGCTTCCCCAGTAAGACAGTGGGTGTTTTAATATAGCACCCTTGCACACAGGGACCAGGTAGAGACCACAGCCCCAATGTGGTATGTCAGTCAGAACAGGAAGAATATTTTCCTAGAGACTCATCTATTTCTGAATCTTGGCTTGTCTCAGATATGGAGACTAATTTCCTAGGAATCATTCTTATGAACATTCAGTAGTTATGAATTTCCAGCAGAGAGGGCCTTGGTGTGAGGATGTTATTTAGGATCAAATGGAAGTGTGTTGACTTCCAGGTGGGGGATCCAGTTCTCATTCTGTTCTCAGCCCTTGCAGATATTTATTACAGAATTTAAGCAAAAAACACCAGTAAATCCTCGCCTGCTGGGTGTTGCTCTGCAAGTTTATTTTCCTGGGTACTCTGCAGGGAATCAATCACCCTTGGAGTTTGTTTTTCCTCACAATTTAGAGGCAGAAGGATGGGCTGAGACAAAGCTTGAAACTCCTTGACCCGATGCTCTAAGTTCAGCCCCAGGAGCTACAAGCCAGCCATGCTCTACAGAGCTTGGTGACTCTGCACAAGTCCAGGTCAAGTGAGAGAGGACTTTTTGTCATTATTGCCTTCAATCATGACAGGAATAGTTAGGTCTCTGGTAATGGGATCATAAATTTCCTGGTTCTCTGAAGTTTTAAGGTATCTCTGTCCTCCTATCCTTTTAAAAAGGCTTGTCCTGTGTAACCAAGCTTCAGGAATTAGCTCCCTGTCCTGGATGGACAAGCTGGCTTGGTTGAAATCACTCAACCCCAGCCTGTGTTTACCTTGTAGGAAGGTAAAAAGATATTTAAAAGCCCCAGTTCTGGCTTCATTTGTTCAGTTTTCTTCACTCGGATGCCTGTTGCCTTCTGCTCACAGAAGAGAGAGCAGCTCAGAGAGCCAGGGCCCAGTGGCTTTTGTCAGCAAATTCAGGTTTCACTGCAGATTTGTCTCTTCTCATGGCCAAGCTGTTTCACCCTGTGCCCTCCCAACATGCAAAGGAGAGCTGAGTGCCCCCTGAGCTCGGGGAGCCCCTGGATCTGTGCTAACAGCTTCAGAAAAGGATGGATTTTCCAAGATGCCGTATCCAGCAGCCAGGGACAGCTCAGTGGAGCCATGGCAGCAGAGATGCTGCCAGCTGGAGACTGGTCTGATGTTGTGCTGGTATTGTTTGGAGCAATATGAAACGCTCTACAGAAAACAGAGGAACAGGGTTACTTTTGGCTTGGGGCCATCAGCTTCTCAGGGCTGGCAATATGCTGAGAGGGTGCTTGGCTGAAGCCTCTGATGCTTTCTAGGGACACGGTGCCCCTTCCTTTGTGCCAGTGCTGATTTTGGATGGAAAGCAGAAGGGAAGATGCTGTAGAGAAGGGACTCAAGTGAACTTTGTCCTCCTCCATAAACTTCTGTCTCTGGGAAGGCCCTTCTGCCTCCTCCCTGTCGTTCTCCTTTATGCCGTTTCACAAATGCCATGGTATTTCAAATCTCAAACGCTCTCTGCTTCATTAAGCAGCACACACTCCTTGTTCTTGTCTTTTAATGCTTTTTAGGGTTTTCTCCAGGACTTTTTGACATTTCTCTAGGATGAAGACTGTTCCTTTAGTCATCTTCGGCTAAAGACGCCTTCAAGAAGAAAGTTGAAATGACCTGGGGAAAATTCCAAACAGCACGGAAGAGGAAAACAAGTATCCCAGCCCTTAGCATGAGGGAGATGCATCACTTATATTAGCTCCATATTATGTCTAATATATACTTCTGTGAAGCACCTATCTGCTGGTGTGTGTATGTATATTTACACACAGACAGATATATTCCATTGTATACACTTATTTGTGTAATCACATTATAAACAGCACGTGCATTCTGCGAGTGCATATACCTATAATCAGTATTATATATATACTCAAAGTTTGAATAAATACATTATATTCCATATTTTGAAGGAGAGATACTCTTGTGGTTTTTATTAAATGTAAGGCTCTGCAACCATAAAATAAAGCCAACTCTTCACAAATCAGGATGGCCCACATCAGTGTTTCTTTGTCCATGGGATAATGTGATAATTTCCCTCTCTGTGGTGTTTTCACCCGTGGCTGGAAAAGTGATGCTTTAAGCAAGGGTCCAACTTCTCAGAGCGGGGATTTTTGCCCTGGAGGGAATTGGGAGAATAAGAAAAAAGGAGTATTTAATTGGATTGCAAAAATATGCAGCCTTGGGAGGAATGGCACATTTATTCTGATATAAATAGAGTTTACTCTGTGTTTTGCACCCAGGAATTGTTAAATTCAGCCTTCCCAGCAATGAAATGCACATCAGAATAAATCCTATCAAGAAAGAATACTTCAGCCCATTTTTTTTTCACATTGGCAGCATGCAAGCAGGATGAGATCTCATTTATGTGGCCCAGAACACTGGGTCTTTCCTCCTGAATCCACTTGGAGATGTGTGGCAGTCAGCAGGGACTTGTTCATCTCCATGGGCTTATTCAGAGGGCATCAAGCAAAGCCCCTGCAGCCTGAAGGAGGACATCACTTTGGGAAGAGACAGGATTGCCCAGACCCTCCTGCTCAGCTGGAGAGGCATCCATCCTTCCTCTAAATCTCCTCATGGGAAAGCTTGAGCTCTCAGTAACCGGGAAAAGGCAAAAGCTTGTGCTGTGCAGTTTTACTGTTAAATTGAGGAAATGCCCTTTTTAGCTGTCATCAGTCTTAGACTGACATGGCCACATCTCATCTGCTTTTCCCCATTGCTCACTAATGGTTGTGCTGAACTCTGTGCCAAAGGCCAGGTTTGCACAGCTCATCCTTAGAGACCCTTTTGGGAGAAACAAGCCAGAAAGAGCTTTGGTCCCGTGCAAGCCCAGCAAACCTTGTATGTGGGAACTGCTGAGCTTGTAATCATGTGGGATTGAAAAAATAACTCTACCTCAAAGCTTGGAGGCTGCTGGAGAAGTAGAGCTGTTCTGCTGGATGATTTTGCTGTGGGGTGAGCTGAGCTTGGTGCCCAAAAGCTTTTCTCCCTCCTGGTGCTGGTGCTGGAGCAGAGCCCTGGGCAGGGCAGAGCCTGCAGCACCTCATGCTTTGCACCTTCTGGGTGATGCCAAAGGTTGGGGAACTGATGGGAGAGTTTAGCCTGGGGGTGTTTTGTGGAAATGAGAAAAAAATAATCAGTGAAATGTCCTGCTGAGACACATCTGGTATTGGTGTGATCAGTGTAGAGAAAGGGAGGGAGGGGGAAACATGGACTGTGTGCCCCAGTGCTGCCCAGGGCACAAGGCTGGGCTTGGGGCAGAGCCAGCTTTGGAAAACCCAGGTATCACAAGAAAATTGGCTTTAATTCGCAGATCTTTGCCTCTCAAGCAAGACTGATGGGGCTGGATGGGGCCAGGCAGCTTTTTGGGGATCTGGAGAGGGAATGGTCTGACCCACTCTGCAGCACACCCTGAGAATAAGGGCAGGGTTTTGGGGCATTGACTGGAGCATGTTCCTGGTGGACTTTGAATCAGCAGCAGGGACATCTTCCCAGCTAAACCCCTGTGTGCCCCTCAGGCCAGGTAAGTGCCTGCCTCCCAAAAGAAGCCAGCCTCAGATGTGCAGGGATCTCAGGCTGCTCAGCTGTTTGGGGCTGTTGATGAAGATGCTCTGGTTCTCTCCTGAGTCCCCAGCACGGTCACAAGTCTCCCTCCTAAAGCTGGTGGGAAGAGCAAGCCCCCTGCAAGCCAGTGCAGGTACCTAGCACACTTTTAAGACGGATGTCTCCAACTCCATCCCTTCTGGTTCCTTCCTGCCAGGGGCATTAATCACTCTGAAAGGTCTGTGCCTCAGGGTGAGGGCAAAAAATTTGAATTTGAGAACATATTGCCAAAGTCACTGCATTCCTGCCCTGACCCGGCCAGACTGAGCATCATATTGCAACCAAAGTGTAAAAGTAGTTTCTGCTTGCTGATCTGAGCAGAGGGAGCTCTTGCAAACTCCTGCAACTTCCTGAAGAAGTTCAAAGCTGTTAAACCAGATTCTGGTCTGCTCAGATTTTTCTCAGTCTCAGCTGGCACATTCTTTGGTGCAGTGACTGCAGGGAAAGGCTGCTGGGGAATTTCTCATCACGCAGACTGAAAACACATATGCAACCCACTGTCTTTCTCTCTCTGTTTCAGTCCCAGCCATGCCATCCCTCTTTATTAAAGTCATTAACAGCACCACCGTGCAGGCAACGTGGGAGCCCTCCATCAAACTGGGCCAGCACGAAGGCTTCAAGCTGTATTACCGCAAAGTCCACCTCTCCCAGTACACAGGTCCAGTGCTCCTGGCCAGCAACATCACAGCCTACAACATTACCCACCTGGGTGAGTATGGTGACCCCTTGATCCATGTCCCCTCCCCACCCTGTTGTGATTTGCAGGAGAGAGCTCCTAAAAATGTGTAGCCCAATCCCTAAATGCTGCAGCTGTCCCCCAGGTTTTGTGGGTGCATTCCCAGCTACAGGTACTTGTTTGCAGCATCTTGTGTGTATTTGGTAAGATGTTCTTTTCCCAAATAAACATCACTGGGGGAAAAAGGCTCATGGTTACACCTGAACTGTCTGTCTTGTGTCCCCCTGGGCAGACGCGTCGGTGGTGTACGAAGTCAAGCTCCTCGCCTACAACCAGCATGGGGATGGAAACTCCACTGTCCGCTTTGTGTCCCTGAGGGAAACTGTGGAGAGGACAGGTGAGATGGGACCTGGGTCTCAGTGCTGGTTTGGGAAACACTCTGCAGGAAGGTGGTGAGGCCAAACACATTCTGAGTGCCCCCTGTGGCATTACCCTCGTCTCACCTTCAGCCACTCATTTATTTTCAGCATCACAAATAATGATGAGGCAAAACTCAGCAGGGCTAAGAGCACCTGGATGGCTTTTTTACCAGTGGGGAGAAGACAAACCAAATGTTTTGCACATGCCAGGTTTGTCCCCTAAGCTTGAGACAGAGGTGAGGCTATGAACATGAACAAACCCCCATGCACAAGGTACCAGCTGCCATCCTCAGGTGAGATATGGTGCACTGAGCATCTCTGCTCTCCTGGAGCTCTCCTGGATATTTTGGCCTTCACTGGTCAAAAGAGAGGATACGTGGCTTTGGAAAGGAAAATGGCTGCAGAGTGTGAGCTCTGTATTATGTGGCAGCAAAGGAGAAACCTCTAGAGGGAATCCCTTAACTGATCACACCTTTCATATTCATCTATGTGTAAAAAACATCCTGCTGCTCTTGGAAGCCTTTTAAGCCTCCATTGGGAATATCTTCAAGAGATAGTTATTACTCTTCTGTCTGTGCTGGAGTAAATACTAATCCCATTGGCATCCATCTACTCCATCAGGTTTCAGCCTGCTCTGGTCTGGTGGCTGCCTCTTACCTCCCACTTTAGCATGGGGTATTGCAAAAATTAACATCAGAGTGGGTTTTTTTCATTAATTGTGTCTAATTACAATAGCCAGGTAATGGGGCTGGCTCACTACAGATATTCCAGTCCTGTGCTTGCTGTGTCTCCCTTCCTGGGGTCCTGGCAGCAAGGGAGGTGCACAGGCAGGCAGTGAACCCCTGCTTCCCATGGGGCTCTCCTCTTCCCATACACAGCTCCCAGCACTGCCCTTGGCAGAGCCCACAGGCTCTGACTTTGGCCCGGGCTCCCCAAAAGCCAGAGGAGCAATAGAAGAGTAGCACCACTGACCTATCCACCTTTTCTTGGCAGTGCTGAATCCTCCCTGTGACTGCATGAAGGACGAGCAGAACAACAAAACCTCCACAACTGGCATCATCATCGGGATCCACATCGGTGTCACGTGCATCATATTCTGCATCCTCTTCCTTATGTTTGGGTACCGAGGAAGGTAGGGATGCTCATGCCACTGCTCACAAGGGGTGGTGGTCCCTAGTACTGTGGGTGTGCCCACCTGAGTCTCACATCCCCAGTGCAATGTTGGACTTCATAGGATGGATTGAAGGATGGAAGGATGAGCCACCTCTCTCACTCTCAGACTCCATCTCTTTATTTTTCAGGCTGCTGATGTGCAAAAATGTGCAGGAGCAGCTGTCAACCCCTCAGATCCCCCGGAGCCAGCGGAGTGCCACGGGCCTTGTCCTGAACGGGGCCACTCGTAGAGACAGGGACGACCGGGACTTGAATGGAAAGCAGCTGGATATGAACGAGCTGGAGAGGTTATTCCCAGCATCCCCGTCCCAGGAGCAGCAGGAGAAGGGAATAACGGTAAGTCCAGCAGCATGGGAGCACACCTGGCTGCACATCAGAGAGCTGTCACTGTCACTGCATTGTCCCCTTCTCTCTCTCCCCAGTCGGCTCACAGCCTGCCAGCCCCCCATGACGAAACCCAGATCTCCACACTCCCTCTGGATGAGTTCAGCATCATTGAGGAGCAGCCAGACCCCCTCCCAAAAAACCCCCATGGCAGCAGTCCTGCTGCTCCGGCTCCCAACCACGGTCCTGCCAATGAAGGATAAAACTGCCAAGACTCGAAGCCTCTTGTAGGAGTTACCAGAAACCAAACCCACGGCTGGTGATGTCTTTACGAGTTGTCAATCTCAGGTCAATTGAAGATTTCTACGGTCTGATTGTTATTTTTTTGTTTTGCTTTATTTTTATATATATATATAAATATATATATATATATATATGTATACAACCTTTTGGAAACTCTGTGAAGTTTATCTTTCTGACCTCTCTTGAGCCTCTCAATGTGTTTCTTCCGATGATGGCTGTCTGGAGACTGGTCACGATGGATTTTCCCCATAGCTGCTACGTAACAGACTCCTTGGCAGAGTTTGGCAAACTCTCCAGTCTCTGACAGACTGGGGATACAGTGGAGCCCCCATCTCTTGGTATCTCGGACTTTTTCCTGATCAGCAGCTTTAGGACTACTTTTTGGATCTATTTTTTATTTCCAGAAGACGGGATTTGGAAAAATCCTTCTAACTTGACTCCAAAAATTTAGGCCTAGGAAGGCTGTCTCTCCGTGGATTTGATGACTTTGTACACTTTTGCTATTTCTCAGGATACTTTTTTTGCTGATTGACTCTAAATAATATGAAAAAAAAAAAGGAAAAAAAAAAAAGTGTGTGTGTGTGTCAAAGGATGCCTGAGGGCTACTGAAAGACTTGGACAGACAACCCGAGTGAACTCAGAACCTACCTCAACCGGAATGAATGTCTTCTGGGAAGCAGAAATACCTGCGTCTTCCTTCGTGTTCAAACAAACAACTAGTGTAGCACTTGGTCAGTACAAGCATGGTCCTACCTCAGCAGTCACGCTCTGTACCCGCCACCTTGGTGGCTTCCTTGTTGTCGTTCCCATGTAAAGCACTTCCAAACCTTTGAAAGCAATGTTCTACCTCAAGTGTGAGAGAAACTCGTGTGTGTGTGTGTGTGTGTGTGTGTGTGTGTGTGTGTGTGTGTGTATCCTCCCCTCTTCCTCAATTCCTGCCTCTCCCACCCAGCCCCACATGAAGCACGATGCTTCACTGGTGTTATGAGCTTTACTTTTGGGGGCTCCAGTGTGATTTTGTGTGGCGGAGATTTGTGTTGTGTTTTTTTTACTTTAAAGATTGTTGGGGCTGTCACAGATAAGCAGCATGATGCCCTGTGGCTCCCTGGCACCACTGCCTTTCCAGGGCTGATTTGGGCACTGGTCCATCCTGGGTTTGAAGGGATGGGGTATTCACATTCCAGTGCTGGGGCTAGAGGCCCCCCTCTGCCCCATCAGTGTGCTGCTCCCCAAGGCTGATTCCCAGCAGGATGATCTATGGCATGTGCTGGCACAAGCAGCACAACGCACCCTTGGGAGGTGGAAACCTGGACATCACTGTCTTGTCCCAAAGCCCACCCTGCTATCAGGAGCAGCTGTGGGGAAACCCCAATAGAGCACTTGAGACGCTACTGAGCTGCCTCCAGCTGCTCCAGCACCATTCCAGCCACAGAACATCCAAAGGATGAGTGGAGCCAAAAAGGGCTTGGTTCCTTGGGAGGGACAAGGCAAGGAGGATGCTGGGGGCTGCCAGAGCTGCCCCTTCCCCATGCCTATGGTGGGCAGAGGAGCTCCTGACACCAAAGAGAGGGTTTGTCCCCTCCAGAGATCAACCACCAACCTGACACTGTGGAGGTTGGGTTGTCCTGGCGTGGTGCAGCCTTGTGAGTCAGTGTGTGACCAGCATCATCCATGGGTGAGATGGGGGCACACACGGGGGACAGGGACACCAGGTGCCAGCTGGTCCCGGAGGGCAGCCCTTTCCCTGCTGTGTGAGGTGGTTAAATCCAGGCAAATGTGAAGGTTTGATCTCTTTGTGTAGGTGGTGGTAAATCAAATGTTGCTGTATTCGCAAGGACAGTGAATGGAATCAGGAAAGGAAATTAGTTTAAGTTTTAAAAAAGTATGAATTGTATTTTTTTAAATGGTACCAGTGGGAGAGTCCCCTCTGTCAAAAACACCCCCATCACCTGCCCACCCGGCAATGGGATGTAGCCAATGGCTGTGTAAATAGTACAGTATACAGGAGGCTGAGCAAATGCCTCTTCCCTGAGCTGAGTCCTGGTGCTAGGCAGGGTTACCTGGGAGCAGGACTCTGTCCTCATCCAGCTTGGCCCAAGAAGATGTAATGGCACCAACCTCAAGAGCAAGGAGCTGTTCAGGCTCGGTGTTCCTAGCCCTCTTCCATTGAAATTCATCCTCCTGTAGACATCATGCAGAACAAAAAAGACGCAAAGCGTTAAATTTTGGCATTAACACCCCCAAGCAGCCTTTCCCCACCCCACCAAAGAGGCTAAATGGGCTCTCAGACAAACCCTGCTCACACCTGTGAGGCTGGACCTGGAGACAGCCTGGGGAGAGACTGTGGGGGGACAGCTCCGTATGAGAACAAGAGCTCAGCCCAGCCCATCGCAGGAGCCAGAGGATGCTGGGGTTACGGCAGGGCAGGATGGAGGAGAAGACACCAAACAGCTCAAGTTATAACCTCATATCAAAGACAACCTGATCCTCTCCTGCCACTCCACTCCCACTCCAGCCCAGTTTTTCTTTTTATTGTTTTCTTCGTGTGTGTAACGCCGCCGTTCACATTGAATAAGTACCGTTGCCAAAGTGAACACAGAACCTAGAGTAGTGTTCAGCTCAGACTTCCTGGAGCTGTGAACATGCTATTAATTTAATATCATATTATTGTGATATTGTAATAGTAACAAGTATTTGTCACTACTTCCTTTTATTAAAGGGAAATTCTGTGCCATTTGACTAGTTGGAATACAATAGTATGTCAAGAATAGAGTTTTTTCTTTTATTGTTTTTTAATAATGCAGAAACATGGTGGCTTAAACCAATGCAGATTCTGTGTTGGTTTGAGATGATCGAAGATGGATGTAAATCTTTAAAGACTATTTTTTAGATGTTTAGCTTTTCCTCTTTTTTGGGGTTTCTTTTCTGCTCTTATCAATTCGTAGCATTGGGACCAAACACAGACAGTTGTGGCAGCTCAGTCCCTGAAGGGTTGAAGCTGAAGTCTGGTGATCCATGAGGATCCATGGTCTTCCCTAAATTATCTAAGTCCACCAATCTGGGCAAAAAAACCCTCTCAAAATTACATATTGGCTTTGTGCCTCTGGCTGCCACTAAGCTGGAAAAGCAACATGTAACAGCCCCACTCGCTGTACTGCAGTGCTTGAACAGGGCTGGAGGCAAAACTGTCCCAACCCAAAACTTGGAAAAACATCACCTAGCATATGTCTGGCCCTTAATCTGTGACATGAGAATGAAAGAAGAATTTTAAAAAGAGCTTGTGTTTGGTTTCAGCATGGAGGACAGTCTGTCCTTCGTTCATCCAAACTGCTGCCATGGTTTTGAAGGAAACGGATGGAATTTTATTCTGTTTATTCTTCTCTGGGGCACAGTTGTACTCAAGTAGACAAGTGGTACTCGGGTAGACACATTGTATGTGGGTGGACATGGGACAGCAGATCCCCTTGTGATGCAGATGGGCTGTGCCACGGGAAAGGGGTCGAGGCATCATTTGATGTCCCCAGACCAGAGGCAGAGGCAGCCAGACAGTCCCAGGGTGGTTCCCAGGGCCTTTCACCATCAGCACCCAGCACTCCCTTCACACTCCTTTACACACCACAACATTTAAGGAACAGCTTGCCAGGTTTCGTATTCCTTTTTGTTCCCCCCACTTTTCCTGATGGGAGGAATCAGTTCTACCCAGAGATACAACACTGGCAGGCAGGTGTTGGATCCAGTGCAAGCTGCTGGAAACTGCCTGTGTTTGGGGTAGGAATCTGATCCTCTAGTATTTTTCAAATAATTACACTAATTCAACCTGTTGCCTTTTCTCAGCTGATCCCAAAAACCCTCTTATTTTCTGGCTGTGGTGAGACGAAATTATAGGAAGGAATAAATATCCAAAAGCTGATTTTTTTTTTTTTTAATTATTATTTTTGGTAACCCATAATGGGCACAACCTATTCTTGGAGATCTCAAGTTAACCAGAGATGGCTGCTTCCTCAGGGATAGTATCCACATTGTCTTAGTTGAACAGGGAATAGTTTTATGCTGTGACAGGGTATTTTCACACTGTTGGATTCAGGTATTTATTTGTCTACCATTTTCTTTTTTCTTCCTCATTTTGTAAAGGGGCTGATATATTTAAGTGCTGGACCAGTTTGGGAATTTTAAAGCTTCCACCCAAAATTATACCAAGGGACCGTAGGTTTTAAGCTGGCAATAAGAGGAGAGAAGCTATGAAGTGTTGTTGCCTCTGGATAGTGAAGGGAAGAGTTTTGCTGCCTGTGGGGGTGTTCCTCTGGGATAACCATCCCACGGCATTTCAGGGGGGATCAGTGCGGTGTCTGAGCCCTCTCTGACAGCACTTAAGTCTGGGAAAATTGGTTAAAAAAAAGGAAATTAAAAGCTTATGGAAACAAAGGGGGGGGAGCTCCTCACTTCATCTGTGCAAACAGTGTGTGGAAATGTATCCGTCCCCGTGCGCTGGAGCAGGCAGGTTACAGATCCCATCGAGCAACTCGATGCCAGCTCATTTATTTCCCTCACCCGCCAAATGAAAAAAAGGGACAGGAAAAGGAAGGTGCCTGGGCTGGAGCAGCGGGCAAGGAGATGGGGATGAGTGAAGCACCAGCACCCCCCGGCGAAAGCGCTGCTGGCACAGGGCCATGGCACTGAAACCCCTGGAACACTGGGAATCAGGGAAATGGCTCCAGGCTTATTCCAAGGGCAGAGCCTGGGCTTCCTCATCGTGTGGGAAGAAGGGACGGGGCCGGTGCGAAGCCCAGCGAGTCGGGGACAAGCCTGATTTCACGGGGCTTTGGATCAGGGTCTGACTTAAAAAGCAAAGAGGGATTTATACTTTGATCCTATTTCCATCATTTAAACTTGCAATATCTTTACGTTTGTTAGAAAGTCATAATAAAACCAATGCTAAACCTTTGTCCCAGTCCTTTTTGGG